GATAAATCGAGGAATAATTCCAAAAGTAGAAAATCGGAGTCTACAGCTGAATCTGACAAAGAGAATTCGCCCGTAGTTAAGCTGTCTGATAATGATAGTCTTACAAAGGTTTTATTAAATACCACTCGCGATAACCGAAAGGACGGGGGGAATGTGAAGGACTTACAAAGAACAGTAGATCTGTTGCAAAAATTAATTCGTTCCAAAAAGTATGACAGCCTCACAAAAAAATTCTATCTAAGAGCGATTATGAAGCAACTGGTAGACAATAAAAGTGACAGTTCAGAGAGTGTCCTTCCTCAAAGTGAGGTGTCCGAAACCGAAGACAGAAGTAATGATAAGAAAATTACAAAATCGCCCAAACAAACTGTACTAGAAAAATTAAAGACTGAAACATTCGCCACTGAAATTCCACCCACGTCAACTAATAGCGACCGTGGTAGATTGAAACGGAGTCGACTTCTCACTTTAACTGATTCTGATTTGTATGACACGGTTGCCGCTTCTACCAATACCACTACAAAGGAGTTTGGGGACACAAATCTACCTTTGAGAGAAACAAATGATGTGCATAGTTCACTATCAAACAAGGATGGCACTAAAAGTTGGCGGGAGGATAAAACTCGATCTGAAAAACGTTTAGAGGAAGGAGCCGGGGACTGTCACAGTTTGGGAAAAATTACTACAAAAGAATTAAGTGATGGGATTAAGGAGGTGCAGCAACTGCAAACGAAGACTTCCGCCACAAAGGAATTACAAAATTATAATGTAGAACAATTAAATGGTGTTGGCAAAACAACAACAGTTTACGTCCTATCGACACAAAAAGAAAGCATTCCTTCACAAACTGAACCAAATTCCTCAACGGTGAATAACAATCCATGTGCCTGCAGTTGCAGATGTTCAAGCTCGAAGCCGTCAACCGTCCTTAATACAGTTATCGAAGTTGGAGGCGATACGATTCACTTGCAAGATGCCCATTTAATATCGAGCGAGGAATTTACCACGAAAAATGCTAACGCGCGGTGTACCACGGTAGTTCGTCGTTACACATTCGAAATACCACTGCAAGGCGCTCCCTCCAAGAATGTGCAGCTTACTCCGGTTTATATTAACGACGACGCCAGTGGCTTTTCGAAAAGTTCGACAATACACAAATCGGATGTGGCAAGTGGCAATGTGTCGGAAATGAGCGGAAATTCGAAAACGTCCAAAAGTGTGTCTACACCAGGTTCATTTTCAAAACGGGGGTCGCAAAGTTCTTCAAAGAAGTCCAAAAAAAGTAGCAGTCGATCTGCACATGAAGACAATGAAATACAGAAGAAGGATTCCGCTTCCAATAAAAGTGAAGGCGGCCTAGAGCAAGATACTGAACCACCTCAAACACTCGAAAGCCAAAAGGAAAGTGAAGGCTCTGGTAAGGATATTTGCAGTAGGTAGTTATTGCTTCAGATGTTCTGCTGTTAGGTACTGAAATTATTTGTGTAGATATTCCTGCAAGGCCTTCAAATATCGATAATTAGACTAATTTTTGCTTGTTGCTTGATTTTAAAGGTATTAGATAATCAATTGTTTATTTGAGTGACTCATTCACTGATTATTGTGAGGATTATTGGCATATTTCTCTATACCTATTCCATCATCTGAGCCATCACTTTACTTCTCACCTTTTATCTTGGTGTTTATGCAAGGTGTACCAGATAAGTCTGCTGAAACAAGCACTCAAAGCAAGAGATCTAACGCACACTTAGGTCTCTTGTTTGGGTTCTTTATACTATTTCCCTATACAACAAAAACTGTATGCCGTCTTCGATTTTAAATTTCTGAGTGAAAACTGGCATTTTTACCATTGTGTTAGCATCAATTGCAGTTTTTAACAGTGTGTTTTTCAAGCTTTGCTGAAATTGATAAACGTCCTCCAAGGGGAACTTTATCTCAGGTTTTATCCATTATTACAGCGTAACGAGGCGATTAGATTACCTATCATTCTCAAAATTGTACACCACATTTTTTATTTTTGGTCTTTATTTTTAAGTGGGCGGGGTTTCGGCCTAGATCCCTCGCCTAATCCACTATACATTTATAAATAATCATGCCTGTACCCGGATTCGAACCAGGGACCCTTAGTACCGCAGTCGAGCTTCGACTTCACTGCACCACACAGGCCAGCTCCTTTCTATAACATAACTGACACTACTCACATTTTTGTGATATTGATAGAGGCAAGAATAAATGTCTAAATTCGCTACCCCTTTGCATTCCTTGTTTCAAACATTTTTTCGATCTTTTGTTTGCAACTAACAATTATTTATCGACTTGTGTACACCCCGCGCGAGACCCCGAGGTCGAGCCCGAGGTATACCCTTACTAAGCTTTAATGCCTGTAAGGCTCGCTTTGAGGTAAATGAAGTTATTTATTAACTTATTAGTGTTATTATTATAACATTATTGCTCCAAACAACCTAAAACTCCATTTACAGGCACCGTAATTTTTTGAAACAAAAATTAAAGATAATAGTAAATAGTACATACAAAACAATTATAAATTGTGCACAACTGTTGTGCAAATAAAGCGCATTTTTTTTACCAAAATAGCTCTTGTTTTGACATCACCAATGGATATATTTCTTGCACACGTCTCAATCGCCCTTTGGTAGTACCCTCTTCGGACAGTCTGTTCTTGAGGTATAAGGGAATTTACACGATCACGATAAGAGGTCGAGGAGGAGGGCTATGATTGGTAGAAATTAATTCCTTTCGTTGAGACCTTTCGTTAGAGTACCATGAAGGATAAAACTAGTTCCACAACCCCCTCCCCCTCCACCCCGTTCTTTGATAAGTGGACAGAAAGAAAGGCAGTAGTTGGTAGAAAACGGTTCCTTTCATTGAGACCTTTAATTAGAATACAATGAGAGATAAAATTAATTTTTAACCCTCCCCCCCCCCTCAGACTCCGTCGCTCGCTGATCCCGAAAAAGTCACAGGGGAAAGTATGCCCCCCCCCCCAATTTTCTCAAGTTTAACTTCGCACCACTAAAGGCATGCGTATGCAAAATCTGAAAATCTGAGACCAATTGGTTGTCGTATGTAAAAGATATGCACGTTTTACTTTCAAACACAGCATCTCAGGAAATAATTCCTAGGGGGGCCCCCTTTTAGACAGAGAAATTTGATGGCCGTCTGGCACACCTCCAAGGTATGGGCTACCTAGGTACTGCCACAAAATTCCAGGACTCTAGGACCATTCCCGTAGCAGTAGTTCGAAACGGCAGAAGTGGGTCCGGACGGACGGATAAAACGCAAACAAATAGCACATTTTTTTTATTCTTAAAAAATGCGCTAAAAATTGAGTGAGTGCTCATAGAAATGACTACATACTTCTTTCTCTCTCACACTTCTTTTTGCTGCGATTATAGAAAAAAAAACGAGCGCTCTTGGGTTCGAACTCGTATCATCGCATTCATAATATTCGTGTACACTTATATAAGTATAACAAAGTAATAGGTACATATAATTAATAAGAAGTAGTCACATGAGAGAATAAATGTATAAAGTAGTATCTAATTGTATTTGAGGTTGATTTCTTGTACAGAGATATAACGCTTTTGCCTCGGCTTTGGCGATCAGGTATTTTTTCAGTTTTCTTTTAAATGATTTGGGCCTCAGTGCTTTCCATTCTAGACATTGGTTATACTGCAGGTAGCCTCTGTGGAGATTTTGGGATAAGCTTTGTCCGGCCCTCTAACATAATTGCGAGCATAATTCATAGTTGATACTACGTACGCCCTGCCAGGTTACATTAAAAATTCGAACTAATTAATTAATATGATATTAAAGTCACTAAATATAGAAAGTACCGCAATCCATTGGGCCGTGTGTTAGAGAGAGAACGCATGATTTTTGCCCAAAAATGGCGGAAATTACCAGATTCTAGTAACTTTAATGTTGGGGATTGTTCCACCTGTTTGGAGATATATGTACACTTTATTCCGTATAACTTCCGTTGCACGTCATCATTTTCTGTGACGTAATTACTATGCAATAATGCCAAATCTAGTTTTGAGCGATTTAGGTTATGTCACTTGTCAACAAGACAGTGCCTTCTTTGTGTGAACAATCCACACCTTAAATAAAATAAAAATAATTTTTATTATTCATTTCGTTAATTGGAACCACAATATACATACAATATACTTTAATAACTTATGAACTGTACAAATGTAGCATCTCTTTTACAGAGAAAGTACTAAATATAAAATTTTACAGGTTATGTGATGTGATGGATGATATTCAAATTAATCGGAATCATCAGAACTGCTTTCGTGTCCAAAGTTTATAATAATAGTAGCAACGTTTTCAAGATCTAATTGCTTTTCTCTTTCGTGTATTACAGTTTCCGTATCCTTAACTGAATTGCGCCACGTTTCGGAAGTTATCGATTGTAGTGTTTCTTGTCACATGTTTATGCAATTTTCAATGCTTCGTCCATCTCTACCAATGTGTCGATTGTAGTAATTTTTCGCTATGCCCCAAATATGTTCGATAGGATTAAAAACGCGATGATAGAGTGATAATTGTAAAACGAAGTAACCATATTGCTCGGCTAAGTGGTCAATGCGTTATGCGGTACATTTTAGCTGATTTATTCCTAAAAGTATCAACAAGATTTAGATAATATCAAATAATTTGCGAACGTACTTACTGTGCAACCTTTTCAACAGTTCGGCTTTAAAATCATTGTCGGAGAACTGCACATTATGATCACCTAACCACACTTTAATGTTGTCTGTTTTCCCGTTATCGAACACAATTACTGACGGGTTATCTAAATTCTTCAGTAATTTCTCTTCAAACCAATGCACAGCGAAAGACGTAGAAAATAATCAAAATCAAATCAAACGAAAAGTAAACCAAAAGCAACCTGTCAAATTTACAATTTTAAACGCGACAACAAGGCGAAATGCTACCAATTGTTGCGGCTAAAATAAACTACATGCTTAATGTGTTGCCTAATAAACGAAAGTAAGTTTACGTTGGTACGTCGTTTTCTTCAGGTAATGACGTGCAACGGAAGATATACTGAATAGACCGTAGTTATATATATATATTTTATATATTTTTATAAAACATGACAGTACTATGAAGTTAGGTTATAAAAAATTACAGCTATTCAGATTTTATTTGTCAATTTTTTTAAGTTAGCAGCAAATTTGCCCAAAAATGGCGGATGATTACAGTATTTTCTATATCTAGTGACTAATGATTGTGTTACACGTGCAACATTTAGTGGACGCGATCCGAAGCTTCCAAGACATTTGAAAGCCTCTTTGATGATGAATTTCTTGTTTCAGAGATACCGTCAGGTATTTTCCAGAATTTTCTTCGCGATATATACCGGGTGGGGCAATAAAACGACACGTGTTTTGGGATTAAGCAACATTTTTAAGCAAGAAATCGTAGGAGCATAAATGAAAATGTGGATACAAGTTGAATATGGGAATTTATTTATCCACGCCTGGTAAATGTTGTATGCAAAATGGTGTCAGTTTTCAGGAGTACTTATTGTTTTTTAAAAAAATAATTTTTACGATAGCAAAAAATAGGTCAAGACCAACAAGAAATAGATAATTATTGATTTCTTTAAACATACTTTTATTGGGTTTTGAACTGTGGCCCATGGCGCATATGAAAAATTTTACGACTCCTACAGTTTTCAAGATATTTAGTTCGTTCTTTTTGCATTCGGTAGCATATACAGTGATTTTTTTTAAATGCGAACATGGAGTTTGCATGCAATGCGAGATGCAATGTAATTTCCCTATGTTCGATTTAAAAAAAACACATCAATCTACTGAGTAGTTCAAATGAGTAGTAGATAAAATTGACAGCTGTCACATTTTTAAAAATACCGCCGTCCAATGTAATTACGAAATCGGTTAGGTTATTGCTTACAATGTCAAGGAGGACACTTTGAACATTTATTGTACGTAATTGTTTTTGTTATTTATTTTCTTCATTTATGTATTGAATAGATCAAATTAGTAGAATACCAGGTGCACATGACCTACAAATAATTGGAGGTTGGTTCACAATGAATTGTGGAGTCAGCGCGTGCCCTGTGAGGTCAAGTTATCGTAAGTTTAAAGCGGGGTTCACATTTGTGCATTTTCATGCTGCATTTGATGGCGCATCAAGTTGCTGCATTTTTTCATGCGCGCGTAGCTATTCAGATTACTGCAATTTTTGATGCAATTACAAATATCACTAGTTAGGGAATTTACTTTTTGCCAACCCAGTTCTCCTCAATTGGCATTCTGGAGTAAAAAATAAAAGTGTTTTTCTTATAAATTTTTCCCTCAAAGTTCAAATACTTGAAGTATGGATGTGGAAGAAATTGTTCTAATAACACTTATAATTGGTGCATCTGCAGCTTTATTATTAAATCGTAAGAGACGGTGGTGGGTAAGACCATGGATTGAGCAACGGGAAACAAATAGTCAAGGCAATTCTAATTTGTTGCACAATGAATTAGCAGTGCTGGATAAAGAAAATTACAAGAATTTTATTAGAATGGATGAAGATACTTTCAATGATCTATTGAAACTTATTGAAAATGATATACAGAAACAGGACACTAAATTCAGGAATGCAATTTCGGCCAAAGACCGATTATCTGTTACATTGCGCTATCTAGCTACTGGCGAGTCTTATAAAAGTCTTTCCTTTTCATTTAGAATGGGACAATCAACAATTGCTGGAATAATCCCAGAAGTTTGCATTGCCATTTACAATAATTTAAAAAATCAGTATTTAAAGGTAGATACAGCTACACTCGACAATGAATAAAAATGATGTTTAACTAAATAATATTTTTAGATGCCTACTACAACCCAAGAATGGTTAAAAATTGCTAATGAATTTGAAGAAAGATGGAACTTGCCACATGTGTTAGGTGCATTAGATGGTAAACACGTTGTTATAAAAGCTCCCGCAAATGAAGGATCGTCATATTTTAATTATAAGCACACACACAGTATCGTACTATTGGCTTTGGTTGATGCCAATTATAGCTTTTTATATGTCGATGTGGGTAGAAATGGAAAAATTTCAGATGGGGGTGTATACAAGAATAGTTCACTTGCTGCAGCGATTGAAACAAACAAATTAAATTTTCCAGAGGAAAGACCATTGCCAGCGGGTACCAAACCAGTACCATATGTAATAGTTGCTGATGCAGCATTTCCATTATCCCGTCATATTTTAAAGCCGTTTCCATTTCGTAATATGACTTGGCAACAACGTATATTCAATTATCGCCTAAGCAGAGCACGAAGAGTTGTGGAGAACGCATTTGGGATATTAACAAATCGTTTTCGTGTATTATTGAACATTATAAGTTTGGACCCAAGTAAGGCCCAAACATTAACTCTAGCATGCATTGTGCTACATAATTTTTTGCGAACAAGGTCCCCAAATGGTTATGATGTTAAGGAACAGAACATTGATAGGCGATTCACATTTAAGTACACCTTAAGTCGACAAGCAGGCAACAGGTCAACTGCATCAGCACTTGATAATCGAAATGAATTTGTACAATATGTAAATGGTATAGGAGCAGTAGAATGGCAAAATGACTTAGCATAGCATTATTATTATCAATAAACAAATGTACAAAATAAAATCTAATCATATTGAGCATCAACAACTTTTGTAAATATCTCCTTCTTCAACATCCGTATTTTGTAAGGGTCTTCGACTTTCCTCAACTCTGTTGCGATTGTCCTACAACATAATAAAAATTGATAGTTTTTTTAATATTTATCACTGGCAACTTATTTAATTGCTATTTAAAACACTTACTTTGCAAATATATCAAATTCATCTTCAATGTGGGGCCTTTTTTTGCAACTTTCGAGGGATTGTACAGCGGTTTGGATTAGGTCTGCCACAGAGTTCTGCATTTTCCTCTTGCTTTTTGATACTGTAGGTGTAGTTGCCCTTGATGTCGATGTTTGTGAAGTGCATGGACTGTTATTGAAAGCATCAACTTCATATTCATCCAGGTCTTCCAGCGTGCCTTCAAACACAATATCCTCATCATATGTAACTGTAGTACCATTGGGCGTGAATATTTGGGTCTCCTTAAAATCAATTACAATGTGATTATTTTAAAAACCTTATAAATAAATACTTACTGATGGTTCAATATTTGATTGGCTTTCCCTCACTGGATCGCATTCGTTTAAAAACTGCAGCATGTCAAAACACCAAAGTTTCGGTTCGTAGGAATCTGCTGAACAACCACTGGACAAAAATTTTTTTAATAGTGCCACCTCTTTCTTAAATTGCGTCCGAATTACGTGTACTTTTTTAATTATGTCTTGGTCCGTTAAATTGCGGCACTCAACCTGATACTTTTTCATCAATTCATTTTTTATTGATTGTATTGCATTTTGCCGTTTCATTTTATTCTTATATTCTTTCATTTTCGTTGTATACAATAAGGGTTGCGCTTCGTACAAAATTATAAGGTCCTCCACTAAGGTACGCGACCATGGAAAAGCACGTATTTCACGGTTCATTTTTAACACTAAATAAAATAATTAACCCAATTCCAAACTGTTTAAAATTAAAATGTAAGGTTAAGAAACATAAACAGCCATGAGTCAACGAACTTTTCGTTGCAAACTTAATTCTAGCTATTGGCAAGAGAAATATTCCTAAAAATATTACTAAAGATGCGCCAAAAAATGCATACAAAATAGAACGTGGTCTAATGCATGCATTTCCATGCGCATCAAAAATTGCAAGAAAAAATGCATAATGTGAAGGGGAAAAATGCAAGCATTTTAATGCCGCATCACAGTTGCAGCATGGAAATGCACAAATGTGAACCCCGCTAAGAAAAATTTATCCTAATGTTGCTACATGGCTTCTTTAAAAAAAATCTTACTGAGTTCTTTTCATCAAAGGCTATAGAAACCGTTGCTGTTCATAGCCACGCAAGTTGCGCGTTTTGCTGGTGGGAATGTGAACCGCGCACACCTCATAGATTGGTGTGTTTTTTTTTTAAATCGAACATAGGGAAATTACATTGCATGCAAACTCCTATGTTCGCATTTTAAAAAAAACTCACTGTATAGCTCTGGCCTGAGACCAGGAAAACCTTGACTTGCGCACTGCGCATGCGCAGGCTGCGCAATGTCAACTTTCTTAATTATGAATATATTTTGTTGAAATTTTAACCAGATACTACTAGTAAAGGCAAACATATCGCATATAGTAAAAATCAGATGTGCGCATGCACAGACTGCACAATGCCAACTTTCGTATTTATGGAGATATTTCTTTGAAATTTTAACCAAAGATGCTTTTAGTAAAAGCAAACGTATCGCATATTGTAAACATCAAATTTGTGCGCATGCGCATGATGCGCAATATCAGCTGTCTTATTTATCCAGATATCTTTTTGAAATTTTAATCACAGATGCTTCCGTTAAAGGCAAACATATCTGATATTGCAAACATTAGATGTGCGCATGCGCAGTTGGTGCCAACTTCCTTATTTATGAAAATATTTCTTTGAAATTTTAACCATAGATGCTTCTAGTAAAGAAAAGCATATCAGATGTAGTAAAACGCTGCAAAATGCCAACTTTTTACTTATGAAGATTTCTCTCTACGGTCTAACCATAGACGCTTCTATAATTTGTTCACTCAACAGATGCAGTTAAGCCACTCCCAATAACTTTTGGCCTCGGTTTTGGCCAATGTAATAGCAGACCCGTTTCACAGTCACAAAAATTCGAGCAAAAACTATAAAAACAGTGAAATTTACATTGTTTCACATTGTATTACAAGTTTTGAATATTGACCTTTCAACACACAGTATAGTTTCAAATTGTTTATTATGTTCACACAGATTATTTTGTTCGTGTACATAAAATTAAGGGCAAGTTGAGGAAAGACAAATACAAAACGCAATGACAGGTTTGACGTTACAGATGTCAATTCAGATACGGCAATTATAATTGGAAGCAAATAGGTTTTGAAAGTTCGGCCAATTAAAAATGTTCATTTAAATTTGCCGTTAATTTTTCGGGAGGAGCTTAACTGCATCTGTTCGGTGAACAGATAATAGTAAAAACAGGCATCACATACATTACCTATAGTATAAATTAATAATGTGCTCGCGCGCAAATTGCGCAACGCCAGCTTTTTTATTTATGGAGATATTTCTTTGAAATGTTAACCATATATGCTCTAGTAAAGAAAAACATAGCGCACATAGCTACGGCCTTTTGGGAAGTACTGGTCAATTCATGGAAAATGCGCTGAAGTTGAAGCTAAAGGGCGACAACCTATTACTTGTTTTGTTTTATGATGCTATCCCATAAAGTCAAACTTTTCGTTTTCACTCTGTACCATAGAAACAAACCTTGAAACAAACGTAGCTAGATTAATTCTGTTTCTGGTATTAAAAGTTTCACATGGTGGCAAAAACCACAAGTGTCTATCCTCGTGTCTACCTTTAAAACCCAATAGTAGTGTGGATACATATTGCCATTTTTATGATAGAATAAATGAAATTCCAGATCTTTCAAGACAAAATTTATGTATTATTGGAGACTTCAACCTTAAAATTTCTGGAGTTAATCAGAATTTAGAATATGGAGATAACTATTGTAGAGAGTTATATAACTTTCTTTGTTTTAATAACTTAAGTAGTAAGAATAACGTTGTTAATAATTTGGGACGAACATTGGATCTCGTATTGAGTAATATTACAACAATTGATGTTTCACCATGGGATGACTCTCTTGTGGCAGTAGACAAATTTCACCCAGTACTCCATGTATCATGCAAGTTAAAACATTCTAAATCCGCTAACTGTATAACTGAGGGGCAGTATTACAATTTCTACCGGGCAGACTTCTTGCAGATTTATTATAGCTTAGCGGAAGTAGATTGGACAATCTTAAATAATATAGGTGATGTTAATGAAATTACTAATATTTTTTATAAGATTTTATATAGAATATTGGACCAACATTGTCCAAAAAAACCGTTTAGGAATAGTTTCCAATATCCTGTGTGGTTTACAGCGGAAATTGTTCAAAGTATTAAGCAAAAAAGTAAGCTATTTAAAAAATACAAACGCCTACATTCTAGTAATGATCCACGATCAGTAGATACCTATTTGGAATTTAGCCACTTGAGGGCAGACGTGAAAAAACGAATCTCATTGGCTCATAAAAATTACATAGCACAAGTAGAATCCAACATTCACTCCGATCCAAATCGTTTCTGGTCTTTCATAAATAATATGCGACAACATGTAGATCTCGAAAACAATATGCTGTGCGGAAACGCAGTTATTAAGATGGGAAATGAAATAGCTGATAAATTTGCGGAAGTTTTTGAATCTGTATATCTACCCGCGCCAAATCAATATGACGTCGAAGCTGCAATTTCTACTACAAACTGTGAACCCTGGAACGTGGCACTTGATTTAGTAGAAGTTTCCCCAAATGACGTATTAGGTGCTATTAAGCACTTAAATTGTAAGCGTTCAACGGGCCCAGACTTGTTGCCACAATACTTCTTTAAGGGATACAAAGAATTACTAGCATTACCACTATCCATAATATATAACAAAAGCCTAGCCTCTAATACATTTCCGGAAGTCTGGAAATGCTCAAAAATAATTCCAATACATAAAAGCGGTAACCGTCGATTCTTCTCGAACTACCGCCCGGTTGCCTTGCTGTCAGCTCCATCAAAAATATTTGAAATAGTCTTGCACAACAACATATTCAAAAAATTAATTCCGCATTTATCTACTAAGCAACATGGTTTTGTCTCGGGAAGATCTACGGTAACAAACCTCATTAATTTTACACAGTTCATTTCAAGAAACTTGGACAAAGGTAATCAGGTGGATACAATTTTTACAGACTTGACGAAGGCGTTTGATAAGGTGGATCACTCCGTTATCTTGTCCAAGTTAATACAATATGGGGTATCATATAACGTGGTTTTACTGTTAAAATCTTACTTGCTTGACCGTAGTCAATATGTTTGGTATAAAGGGCACAAATCTAGGGAGTATACAGTTACTTCAGGTGTACCGCAGGGTTCGATACTTGGGCCTGCACTTTTTAATCTTGTTGTCAATGATGTCGTGAATTGTGTACAGGAGTCTGAGATATTGTTATATGCGGATGATCTCAAACTTTTTAAGGTAATTAAAAATAATCAAGATGCGCTGGGACTTCAAAATGATATAACTTCAGTTAATAAGTGGATGACCCTAAATAAGCTATCTTTTAATGTCTCAAAATGCGTAACACTAACGTTTACGCGTGGGAAACATTACATCGCCTATGACTATTCTCTTAATGGCGTGAACTTGAAACGGGTGTCTACATACAGCGACCTGGGGGTAGTGTTTGACCATAGACTGACGTACACACTTCACTATGCCGCCATAACGAGCAAGGCGTATCGCAATCTTGGGTTGATAATTAGACAGAGTAAGTATTTCACGTCAATTTCCACATTGAAGCTATTATATGTGACACTAGTGAGATCTAATTTAGAGTACGCAACGACGGTGTGGAACCCCCACTACAGTATTCACAGTTACAATATCGAAAAAATTCAACACAAATTTTTAAGACATTTATATTTTAAAACACATGGATATTACACGTATCTGACGTCAAGTAGTGCGATGTTAGCAATGTTTGATTTAAAAAGTTTGAATACCAGGAGAAAAATACTACAGCTAACTTTCCTTTATAAGCTTCTTCGAGGTTTCACATATGATAGTGGATTGCTCAGTCAAATTGGATTTATCACCCATTCATACTCCAGTCGGTCAAGATCATTATATCATATCCCATACGCTCGTACAAATGTCCTCAAACATTCACCATTAATTAGTATGTTGCGCACATATAATGAATTACCACCACAGTTGGATATATTTGGAGACTGCCTTCACGAATTTAAAAAGAATTTAAAAAGAAATGCTATCTGCACGTACTGTAAAGAATCTTATCACATTTTGTAACCCGTGTGATTCGTGATTTCCCTGCTCCAATCATGTAACTCGTTAGTTTTGGCAGTCATACAGAATGCTTTTTTGTTTAAGTTTTTGTAAGTTTTTGTTTAAGTTTCAAATATTGTTAGCCGTGATCGTTATAACTATAAATGCATCTAATTTATATTTTATTCCTAGTGCCTTTTTGTTTTTTTGTGTCCTCTGTAGCTAGTAACTACTTAATTACTAATTATTATTTTATTTCTTGTGTACCTTGTTTTTGTTATACTTGAGTTATATTTCATTTACTCACTTAAATGTAAATGTATGTACTGCTCAACTGTAATTGGGGTAAAACCTGTAGTTGAGCAAGCAAATTTCATCAATAAATCAATAAATCAATAAAAACAACTGAGATGCACTGCAGTCTCAACCAAAATGGAACACATCATACACTCATACCTAAGTAAATGAATTGAATATATGAAGGATTCTACCTACGTATTAAAAACTGTCCATCTAACAACTGACTATGTTTGCATGTACATGTAACTCTGCTTCTTCTACTTTGAGGGTTTCCAGTAGTCTTCATTTTGTTTCTACGTACCTATTTCCGCTTTTATCATTCCTTTGTTATTGCATACAATTTTACATTAAATATTTTTGACAGATGAAAGATCATCACGTGACAAGATTTCAAAGACCCAACTTTCTTCTGATGAGAGCGCAAAAGAACCTGGACGAAAAGACGCAGTGGCTGAACCTGTACTTAGTTCGACCAATAAACTCGCCGAAAAAATTAGTGTCACAGACATCCCAAAAGCAAACGACGATGTAATTACCTACAGTAGTCAATCTGAAACAACATCTGAAGTGGTATATACCGCTTCGAGTGGTAGTTTTGAAGAAAAGAACTGTGATCATTTAACCGGCGAACTCGTGTACCTGGACGAAATTCCAAGTTCCTACCAAATCAATTTAGAACACGTGCACGTTCAAGGGAACAAAAGTGGAAGAAATGCGACTTTGTCCAAGGAACTTGTCTACTCGGACAGTATACCAAGTACTACCGACCAGATTCCAGAGAAGATCATGATAGAACTTTGCGATTGTTGTAAGACTTCAAAAAGCTCATCGTCCACATGTGTGTGTTGTAAAGAAAGAGAGGCACAAACAGCGTCAAAGTGCTGCCAATGTAGCAGTACTCAAAGTACTAAAGACAGTGAAAAGTACATTCTTTGCTATCCATGTTATAATTATCATCAACAGTTTGTTGACGATTCTAAGCCTTATTTTAGAGAGGGATACGTTTGCCAGTGTCAGACGAACCAGAAGGCGACGCGAGGCACTATAAAAGAAATAAAAAAGACCATACAACAATTAGAAAATTTGGAAAGCACAACTGAGCTGTGCCATTGTGATTGCTCATGTGACGAAGTTATTTCCAGCACAAATTTTTGTGAGCACTGCAACTGTCGATTAAGACCTAGATATCGGAGACGAAAGGGAGGGTTGGCTTACTGTGTAACACTGGAGTCGGATGAAAACATCGCCAGTAATGAACAAAATTATTCGATGGAAGCATTAGAAGAAATTAAAATCAAAGTCCCTAGTCCCAATCCCACGTCAGATCATGTTGTCAGTTACTGCAATTCGAAATCATGCAAAGCGAAGAATTTTCAAAAAAGTTCCAATTTGCAGTGCAAAAGAGGTAGAGATAAGCAAGCTGCGAATAAAATGTCGGATGCGTCTACCAAGTGCAGTCATTGCTTATACTCTTGTCGTCCTGCTGTTTCAAATGAAACACAAACAACTAAAATCAACCATCATAATCGCACTAATAAAACATCTCAGCGAGTTATAAGTACCTATCATTGTGAAGAAATGCCATCCGCCACGAAGGGTTTTAGAGCGAGCGATTTGGATCATAACCAAATTGTTACCGAATGTGAATATCCGAGATCGAAAGGCAGAAAGGAGAAGCCTTACACTTTGCAGGTATGTAATTATTTTTTTATTACGGTAACGTAATTGTGAAACTTTAGGAGTATCTATGTCAGAACCGACCACGCTTTGTTGTTATGGCAGAGCAAAGGAGACAGTGCTTACTTGACCTGGCTGCAGTTAGAGAGGAGCATAGTGAGAAGTACAGGAAATTACTAGCAACGACACAAAAACCAATGTCGCTAAATACTAAACGATCTCAAAATAAAGGTAATTATTTCACAAAGGCAAATGAACCCATAACCTGAAATTGGCGTGCTTTAATAATTTTTTTCGTCGACCTCTCGATAACAATATAAATTACTCCTTAGTGACGAGTACAATGATGAAGCTTATTAATCGTTAGCAACCATTAATGGTTAGCAACCCACCATTATACGTTAGCAACCATTAATCGTTAGCAACCACTTATACATAACAACCATTTTATTAAAGGGAAATGACAATTATGTAACAATTCACTTTCGGCAACAGCTGAGAACTTCCATCCACCTAACCATTTTAATCTCGGTTTTAACGTAGTGAGATCAGCAGCCAGTATGGTCGCCAAACAATCTCAGCAAAGCATATCCTGATGTATGTATGTGTAGCTCCTCGGATAAGGTATTGTTAAGGTATTCAGTTACTTTACCTTCAACATTGAGTACGTCGACCACAGGAATGAACATTTCCATATCTTTCACTGTTAATACACGTACTTTAGTACAGTTGCAAAAGAATTAATTACATTCTAATTTCACATACCTTTTCTAGGTAAAATGTCAACGTGACATTTTCAGAAATATCTCCTTACAAATTCATTGTATTCCATCAATTGCCGAACTGATCGAAACCGTTCCAATAAGTTTCTTTTGATTTTAGTGGATATAATGTTAAAATCGCCTCCGCAGCAGAGCAAGCAACATAATCTTCCACTATGATTACGAGTCACTGACGGTACAGCATAAAACAACACATTACTATAGCAACGACAATAGCTGTAATTTAGTGAACAATCGTACGAGCTCATAATTTCGTTTGTAATTTCTTGTAGTTGAAATTAAAATTACCTACCCCAGTGAAGTCGACGAAAAAACGTTGTATGCAATTCATGTATAAATCGGCGATTATTGGTTCGTTCATTTATACACTCATTGCATAAATAACTATTAAAATTTTTTTAAATGATTTAAAACAGTGAACCTAATGTAAGGCATACCAACTATAGAGCGTTCAAACCTCCAAATTCAGTATGGGCTCTTATGGACTAAACGCCTCCTTTACTATCTTTAGTCTTCTGCATATAACCGTATCTTTGTCCTTGTTGCCAATAATAAATTGTTTTTCAGACATTCGTTTTGTTGACATAACCTCCTTGTACTGGCAAATTCTTTGTATTTTTTCTGTTCTTTTTTACGATATTTTTCAAATTGAACCAATTCCGTTTATTAAAAATCGTTCTTAACTAAATGTAATACACGCGTCGTATGAGTTATAGATATTCCTTTGATATGGAGGTTGAAGAACAAACTGCGGGCTCTTCTAATGCGAATATTAAACAGCATTCAGGAAATCATTTTAGTCGTAAGGAGAAGTGCCTCATTATGAATGTACTTAATTACTTTAAAGCAACAATGAACATTAAAGCGGCTGTGAAAGAAGCGAGCAAAGCTTTATGCTGTTCGGAACGTAGTATCTATGCCATCAGAAAGGAAGATCAAATCACTGCAGTGGCTAGTTCAAAAAAACCTATGAAAAGAAAAGGCACACAAATTAATGACCGTCTTTGTGTTTATGATAATGATGTGCAGGCCCTGATTCGTCGTAAAGTGCACGATTCTTTTATTGCAAACATTCCACCAACGATGAATACTATGCTTTGCGCTGTTAATGTTAATTTACCAAATTGATCTTTTAATAAAAACGCATTTAGTTCATATAAAAAAGTATTTAGAATTTTGTTGTTTATTTTGAGGTTAGAATCTGTGTCTGCTATACCTGCATCCGAAATGCTTATGATTGGTCAATAATTTGAAATGTGCTTGACATTTCAAACTATTGACCAATCATAAGCATTTCGGATGACCGTATCGTCGGATTTCTTATTCATGTGAATCCAGCTTAATTCGGTATACAGTATTATAAACTGCGCAGTAATATATCGGTTAAATAAGTTTGGCAAGCAAGCATTGTATTCCCATAAGACCCATAGTGAATTTGGAGGTTTGAACGCACTATAATAAATTAATAACATATAGGTACCAGGTACTATACTAACAAAATAAAACACAATTCTTAGTTGATACTGTAACATACTATTATTGATTACTAACTATGAATTGTGAGTTAACTGTCTTTTAATTATTGTTACAGTAAAGCGCCCCTTTTCATCTCGGGAAATGAAACAACTTACCGCCAAAAATTACAAGAAATGCCCCGAAGTGCAACAAAAGTTGGTGGACGTACGAGAACGACAAATTAAGAAAGCGAATAAACTTATTTATGATGTTTTCAATCAGGTATGGTCTCTTTCCACTGTTATTCATCAATTGTTTTGCTGTCAATATTCGTCATTTATAATTTTTTTGTTCTAGAATTTACAGCACCAAGTTTTAAGAGGGCGACACACACTTCCGTTGGAAGCGACAGTTGTTAATTTCTATTGATTTTGTTTGTTTATTTTTTTTATGTTTGCAATTCGTCAACAAATAATTTTATTCTTGCCAATGTATATGTCTAATAATTTGAGCGTAATATATTTTTTGTTAAAAATGTGTATTTTTTTAACATTACGTTTGTTGAGCTTTTGTTCCAATAGTTGTTGCATGCTTATACATATGTGGTACGTTTATGTAGAACTCAAATGATTGAGATTTTTGTTTCAGATACCTTCAAAACCTCACCGTCTAAGCAATAATAAAACTGAATTTCTGTGACAATATAAAATTCAATCTTTCATAAAAGCGCTCATATTTTGCGTTGCTTGCACCTGATGAACCGGCAACCCATTCCCATCTGTGGGTTTGCAGGACCAGCTCGTTTGTTTACCCCACAAAAATAATCTCAAAGCCATCCATCAAATCTGCTGTCAACTGTGATCTGTTATTCTAGTGCCTTAGAGTTGTCTAGTATCTTATTGTGTAATACTGCACTATTCTTCTCTATAGATGCATGTTTTTCTTATTCTGTTGCTGGTAATTGGTACGCACACAAACATTACGTATTTTAACTGAATGTGGTAATGTAGGCACATAATAAATAGAGTAGTACTGTTTATCTGCAAAAACTTTCATTTATATAATTTAGATGCCGAAATGTTTGCAAGAGCCTCTGTTCTGTTGTTTTGGGATATTCAAGAACCTTCAAAAGTTTTAAATCAAGAGGTCTTTGGAGTCTTAAGGGCACTACAAAGCTTTAAATAGTTCTGAAGTCCTTAAAGATATAAGTAGCTATTATTTAATAGTTTTGTAGTGTATGTGTTACCGGCAAATTGTGAAATCCGGCATTTTGCAAAATGCCTAGGCATTTCGCGAAATGACAAATGCAACAGTCAAAGTGAGAAACGGAGCTGCAATTCGCACTTTGCCTGCCTCTAGGGATTTTGCGAAATGCCTAAACCGAGGCCTAAACATGCAGGCAAAGTGCGAAGGCTTCGTCATTTCCCACAGATTGCTGATACAACGTTGCCATTGGATGGTAACGAAGCGTACGATTGCGATGTTATTTAAGTACTCTCCAAATATTGCGCTCACGTTTAGACTGCATTTCATCTATGGGTTTTCTGTTGAGTCAAGCTTTGGATTTACTGTGGAGAATATATCAGATGGGGGAAGGTACTAACGTAACGCGACGGTTTTACGTTTGGCACCGCTGTACGCGCAATCTGTGGAAATTATCCGAGCATTCTCACTTTGCCTGAACGTTTAGGCATTTTGCGAAATCCCTAAAGAGAGGCAGGAGAAGTGCGAACTCGAGTTCCATTTATCACTTTCCCTGCGGCATTGGTCATTTCGCAAAATGCCTAGGGATTTTGTAAAATGGCGGATTTCGCAGTTTGCCGGTAACATATGTACTAAACCCCCAGGTTGTACGCTAACTTCACACTACAAGAACAAGAAAATAAACTCAGCCCTGCAACTTTTAAAAATGGCTACCCTACTGGAAATAATTCCCTCCAACTAAACAGTCCCAGCTTAAATTTGAAATTGACAAGTGGCACATGATCAAACATCTGAGGCAGGGCTTCCTTACGTTACTTGTAAACAACGCTATGACCTGAAGTACAGGTAGACGGTAGTATGTAGAACAGGAACACAAAATAAAACAATATAATGGCGTAATATTATAATTCGTATTTTGAATAAATGAAAAATTGAAAATCACATACTTACCTACACAAAAACAGGTTAAAAGCAATTTACAAAACAAAGAACTGGTTAGGTTGGGGTACAACCAGGGTAGTTGTACAACAGGTGACTCTCCTTGGTGCAACAAATGCAAGATGACAATAATTACAAGGCCTGGCCAAATCAAAGTAGAATGACAAAATATGTGGAAATCAGTGATTCGCTGACTCATATATTGCACCTACATATTAAACTGTTACTGTTAGCAGAATCTCCCTTCTTGTCAGTGGCATCGGCATCCAAGCCTACAGTTGAGAGTCCTGGTCAATCACAGCATTAGGTGTGATAACTTATTTGGTTACTGAAACCTAATGAAAAACACAATGGCCCGTATAAACAAAAGTAAGCAAATGCTTAGTGTGCGTTTACAATGAACGTATACGTAAGAAATACATAAGACGTAAAAATTTCGCAAAGTTGAACTGTATAGAAACATACGAAGGTGTTCACAATGAACGTAATTTTTACGTACGTACATATGTCTTGCGCATAGTCGCAAAGGTTGAAAATGTTTCCAAGTTACGTAAGGTCAAATATCATACTACTTGTAGTATGATCTTTGGTTTATGGTTTATTGTAAACAGCGAAGTAAATTTACGGAAACGATGCGGATATGTACGAGTTACGGTTTATGAAATATTTACGTATGCGTTCATTGTAAACGCACACTTATACTTGAAAAATTCAAAGTAAATACTCGTAAGTGCTCCTTCGCACTGGGCGACTTGCTGCTAAGCAGAAGGACAGGACGCAGTACAACGCTGATAAACAAACCAGTATAAAGGGGCACTTACGAGTATTTACTTTGAATTTTGCAAGTATAAGCAAATATTGTTATAGGTAGTATCTTACCAAGGGCAATGCTGTGGGTTGAATTGATATTGAAGCAAATTTTCGTGTGGCGGCCTTTTTCTTGGTTTCCGTCAGCCATTTGCATTTTCGGCCGTGGGTAATTCTAGTGGCGTACTACCGACCTCCATTGTACTACCATTGAATTATTGTATAATCAATGGTTCTGCCAATGGTGACGCCTTTTCTTTCACTCTTTTATAACCTCCTTTTTATCCATTTCCGTCGCGTGGTTTTTTCCCTTCTTATTTTTTACTCGAAGCTCGAAACGCAGGATAGCCACGTCTTCAACCGTTTCTGTTTGTCGACTAAGCACATATACATTGGTATATACAGGATGGAATCCTACACATTTTTTACTCCTGACTCCTGTTAGTAGTTTCTCTTTTACTTCATCTGCCACAGTCTCAATTTTCTGCAATTTGGTTTGCTAAACTTCCTATTTGTTGAGACGAACATCCAAGATGCACTTATTATTATTAATGAGATCGTCAATCTATCTTCAGTCGCAGTCCTCTTCAGTATCATCATAGGGATTATATCATCACTTTGGATACTATAAGATGTATGATAATCGGAAGCTTACTGCCACTTAGGCAACCAATCATACACTATCTAAAATGGCGATTTGAAGCAGGGGTTGGAACCCATATGAAATACAGGTTCTGCAGTTCCGCACTATTTCTGTAGAATTATTTTGTAAGGCTTCCGGTATCGGTCCGGTTCTGCGGCTTCTGTAATTTTTGGTTCCGGTTCCGGTTCCAATCTCTTTTTTTCAGTTTTTAAGGGTTCCAACATAAATAAGTAAAAGTATTATTAAACAATATTAATTATAGAAAATACACAAAATTAATGTATGTACCGGGTGACCCAATAAGACAGTTCCTGGGCTATATCTCGGGAACCGTTCGTCGTATGACTTAGAGGTAAAAAAATTATTGGGTAAATCGGTCATGAAAAATCGCTGGAAAATATTTTCAAGTTCTAAAAATGACCACCAAAGGGCGTAACGGCTATCTTAAATTTTAAAATTGCATTTTCTTTAAATTTGGGATAATAAACTACAAATTTTTGTTTCACATTTTTAAAGAGTACCAATTTATTATTTTCGTAAAAAAAACTTTCTGATATATTGTTTAATGATTTATATTTTTTAGACTCACAATTGCCTCTTTAACATCTTATTCATTTTGTAGCTAAATTTTTAATAGTTTTAGGAAATTTACCGCGCGATCCTTGCCCTTCAAAGATCCATTAATCTCATTTTTCCAATATTTGAGGTTAGGAACGAGATTTTGAAAAACGGTTTTCACTTGCCTCTTTTTCATAAAGAAAAAAGTCACATCATTCCATTTGATTTTTTTAGAATTTTGGGTCATGGTGTCAAAACCAGCCCCCTGGCGGAGAAGGATTCAACTTAATTAACTATATTTTGGCTGATTCTTATTTCCTAAGGAATGCTCTTTTCAACGATACCAAATTTGTTAAAATCGGTCAAACCGTTAAGAAGTTAAAGCAGGTTACTGCAAAAACAATTGAACGCCCCACACCATTTTTGTTTTTGAAATAACAGTTTTTTTACGAAAATGATAGATAAACGGGTTCTTTTTAAAAATGTGGAAAAAAAATTTTTAGTTTATTATGCCAAATTTAAAGAAAATGCAATTTTAAAATTTAAGATAGCAGAGAGGTACTACATTCATACATATCGCATTAAACCATCGGTCGCATATTTTGCTAACTAACATACACTTACACCAACATACACTTACCTAAGCTATTAATACATTTGTTTATTCATTTAATGAATAAAAAATATTAATACTTACATAATACCTAAACTATAATGTTTTATGTGTGCGAGGTTTTGTTGAACTGTAGAGGTAGACGGGGCCTATTCTCTAACGCATAACGATGTTGTTACATAGCGAATATCGTTCGGCAACGATTTTCTCTATTCTGTATGACATATAACATATGGCAGTGATACGGCATATACCTGTCGTTCAAGATCAAATCGTTACCATTACCAAAGATCATACTACTTTGCCATTACGATATCGTTTGTTAACGACAATATACAGAATAGACCCCTTGGGCGTTAGACGTTAAGAAACGAGCGGCTGCACACTGCACAGAGAGTAGGTAACTGCGGTGATGTTGGGGACATGCACATTTTTGTTTCACCCTGACAAAAATATAACCTCATTTTAGCTTTACGCGTCTGTATCATAGACGTATGAGTTCATAGCCCATACTTAGGTCTATTATAATTATTAAAAAAAAACTCTTTCAAAATATATGGACTAGCCCGATTAAGTATACTATTTCGCAAAATCTAATTTGTGCAAGGATATACATGTAGTAGCTCAAAACTGTACAAATGTGATAGATCAATGGGGCCGCGCAAAACAGTTAACGAAAATAACGTTAAAAAGAGCAAAAGTGCTACAATCTACACTGCGCAATTTTATTACAGATCATATAATGTCCATATAGTTCATTTACCTACTTGTACTATACTTAGTAGTCAAATAATAGGAAAACTAGATGTTTTATGGTGTTAAAAAATTCGCACCCACGGACAATGGATATGCAACCCTATTACACTTTGCGATCAGAGACGTACCTACCTACCTACATTTCAAGATACGAGGTAGCAAAAACATGATCACAAAGCGTTTCGTAGAGAAACACATTTTTTCTATTTCGGTGTCACAATGATGATTTTGTACAACTGTTTTCGCCCTAAAACAGTTGTACAAAGACAGTGATTATAGTCGTTTTTTTTGGTAACTCATCTCTAAAGTTGGCAGTTACTAGTTAGTACAAGTAGGTACTTCGTTGGGTACTTCCACAGCCGTCTATAATTACAAGCCATGCTGAGAAGTTTGGCAACGTTGTTCGAAAGTGAATCGGTGGGCCGATGTAAGTTTTAATGGCGTCTTGTTGCTCTTGAAAAATGGCATTTTCCTCTCCCCTGTGTTTCGCCTTGGCGGTTTTAATATAGAAGAAAGATACTTAGGCAGCTTACATATATTTTTTTCATTTACAAAAATGGATAATAACATTTTTATTTGACTTTAAAATTCGGAACGCTGTAAATTGGTAACTGCATCATAATGTGTTTTCCATCGAGATCTCCGAAATTGATGAACTTCTGTCGAAAGAGGTCGAGGTGAAGCACACGTTTGAGCACTTAATTTCGGTAAAAGGACAGTAAATCACTGCGCATCAGCGAGGTTATATCAACGATCAGGTGTGATTTGGAATGGCAGACTTTAAGCCAGTCGCTACTCCAGTGGGTCTAGGTACGAAGCTTTTAAAGAGGGGAGCCCCATAGGCTTCAAATTCCCGTACCATAAACTCTTGGGAATAAGTTGAAAGGTGCCTTCAGAAAATCGACTTGACATGTCCGTGCTAGAATACCTGAAATACAAACTAATTGTGTTTTTTCACGATAAACACTTACCGTACTTACGTACCAGGTAGTGTGTAGGTCATATTTGAGCTTCTTACAGGTACTTTGAACAAATAAAAGTGCTTGTAAAGGGTTCAGTAAGGAGTAGCCTGCTTTAGAGGTTATGACAACAAATCGATATATTTCGTCTAGCAACTTACCTGAATAATAACTTCTGTTCATTCCGTACGGAGTAACACACATTGTCGCAAACTCGCTCTGTTAAAACAGGTAAATTGGAATCTTACACCCAAAACACATATAATACACCCAAAATCTGTCAAGTTGAATTAGGAAATCGGCCTACCATGCAGTGTTGCCATAATTCTCAGCACGGCTTGTAATTATAGACGGCTGTGGTACTTCCATGTTTGAACTTCAAAATGTCAGTCTTACTACGCTGCCAACCTAAAACTTAACGGCATAAAAAGTGTTCCCAACATAAAACATGTTAGTTCTAATGTTCCCTATAGTTTCTGATAATGATTTTTTTAATTAAATTAAAGCACCGAAATAGAAAAAATAGTATGAAAAACGCGTGTTACAATGCTTTATTGTAATACTCCTATCTTGCGGACACTCGTGGCTACGCTTCGCGTCGCCACTCGTGCCACAAGATAGTCGTATTACAATAGATCGCATTGTAACACCTGTCTTTCAATATACTATTTTTAATCAGTCAATTTTGCATTAACAATAATATGTATTTCTATTACCCGATTATCAATTATGGATATTTTTTTGGTGAAGACAGAATTTTTGTTTAATAAAGTTAATTTGATATGTATATAACTGATTTTGATGTACCTACACGAGTTGACGAGTAGGTATTATCAAAGTGTAAATATTCGTGTAGGAACGACGTATAGGTACGCATTTCGTTGATTAACTTTTGGCATCCTCTGTAATGTTTAGCTATATCTTATAAGAACGATGAACGAAGCATCACATATTCGCAATTATTTAGTAACAGACCCGGCAAACTTCATACCGCCTTTGGAACATCTTGTTTTCTTGGATGGGACATAAGCTCGGTTTCGCGTACCCAGAGGAAATTGCATACCTAATATACCAAATATATCACTCAATGTTTTCTTGAATGGGACATACGCTCGGTTTCGGTACAAGTAATGTCAAACTGTGTTGAGTTGGGTAAATAGGAAATAAACTTAAGAGAAACAAAGTTAGATGTCTGAGACTTTACAAGAAACAACGTCATTTTATCATCGTTATGGATAACTAGATCGAAATTAAAATAATTCAAAAATCTTGATTACTTGAAGTATTTTGGCTATGGTGTAATGGTGCATTCAAAACTTTTGTAAGGATTTAATAAGCGGTCATATAATGTAATAATATACAGGGTGTTCCATATAAGGAACTCATATTTTTTTTGTATGAAAAATGGGATGTTGTTTTTCTTTAATTACAGATTTGGATTGATTAGAAAACCGCCCTTCTAACTCTACAAATAAGAAGGTTATCTATAGCAATAGTGTGCCGACTTAATTTGAAACAAATTACAGTTTCACACGTGCCTATCATTTTATATTATTGTAGCCAGTTAAAACTAAAATGGAGGTTAGCAAAGTACGCGAAAGACAACTTTCGCTTCTTCACTACTGCTCATATTACATGATGAATATCTTCTCAATCCCATTCTTGATCCATTTTGAAAATATATAATTTAATAAAATCAAAGCACTGCTCAAAGTACTTTTTTAAATGGTAGGTATAATACGTAATTGTAAGATATAGGTATTGTCTAATTACATTACCTACTTTGGAGCTTATTTACCTAAAGACGTTTGAAATAACTTGCGTAGAGTAAGCTTTCCGACTCAGAATTTCGAAGATGTGGCCGAATGTGCGTTGTTAGTACTTATTCCCATTGATAAGCACTTGAGCAGCAGGAGGTCAATAGTACTCCTGCGGCACTAGTACTTAGTAACAGGGTAGTACGGTTGATGTCATCCTAGTAGGTACTTTCTGATGGATTGAAGATGCGACACCTAAAGATAACAAAAAAATTTAAAAAAAGCTTACATCTTCGGTACACCGTATTTCAATTAGTACAAATGACTTATAATATTGTTATAACAGACGATTATTATAGTTCAAATTATTAGTGATGCACTGCTAAATGGTAAATATATTTTGAGAAATTCCATGTTAGAAACACGTAGGCCACCATGCAGGTTTAAAAAGCAAAAAACTATTGTAAAAGTAATGAAAGTGAAAAACGAAAAGCATCTTCATATCGAATTTAAATTTCGAATCAACCTTCAACCCAAAAAATAGTGCCCACTTACCTGTAGATTTTCACTTCAATTTTCTACAGTTATTGACCCACACAGTTCAATTACCTAAACCATGGCGTTTTTTTTTCGCTTTTTCATAAATTATCAGGTTAATTGCTCTATTTCTTAAGATAATTCTGAAATAAAGAATTAAAATAATTATAATATAGACATACATGACAAATGTGAATTGGTTTATATCATCGTCGCACTGAATCGTATAGGTACCTATAGCAATGGCTGCCCCCTCACATTTTTCATTCACTTGTTGCGGGTACGTTTGTAAGGTTAAGTGATTCGACCCCTGTTAAATTAACCGTCTCTCGTTTATAATTGACTTCGTAATAGCTTATGAGCGACACGTCATGATGTACCTACTATAAAACAAAATTATAATTAATGTATCAGATACGTAGGTATAATACCTAGGGACTTAAAAAATATTGCTCAAATTTAAATTGCTCAAGTCTACTGGAAAGGTAACATGAAATCGAGTAGCTTTTTTGGATTCAACGTCGTACTTAATCAAAAATTTCGTGTAAGTTTATACCATATTGCACGTAAATGATATGAAACGTCTTTTATTTGAATTTTATTTGTCATAAAAATTTCATTGCTGAATCAAAATAGGAAAAAAACTGTAATATTTTCTCATAGATGGATTACCTTTACTTGGTCCACAATGAGACAAAATCAAAGAAATTGTTACAAATAAATGTGACTCACATCTCACTCATCAAAATTCAACCAGAAGCTTAATTGTCCCCGCAGTGACTAAACACATACATTTCCAGTAACTTTAAAAATACACAATTAATGTTTGCGCCGTTCTTTGGCAATATAAATTCGCGACGCCATCACGTTATACATTTTACTTTCATTCTCTAAATACGATTTAAAATGATATAAAAAATACCTCCATACTATCTAACTGAAACTGGTTGACTGTTTGTTTTAAGATGGAGATGACTTTAGGGGTCATATTATCTTTAAGGTCAGGGGTTAGTGATAACATAAGCCGTGTACGGCCGTAACAATGCCATAGATGTACTATAACAACAACAGACATTTTTACATATTATTTAAATATTTACTGTGATATAAAATGAAATTGAATGTACCTACAGGATAATTTCCTAATTGATATGATACCAGTTACAGAAATATTTGGTTAATAATGTATTTATCACTGTGATAAATACGTTTGTTTTGGGTATTTACCATTATATCTATTAATAAATAAGGAAATTTGTAAATACATACGTTTTGCAAAAAGTTAAACCTAATAAACGGGACACGGACGCACTTCAGAAGTTAAAGACACAAACTGTTCTCTTTAATGAATTTCAATTGAGTTTATATGTGAAGCCCACATCCTAGCGTTAATTTAAGTTAAATTAAGAGATTATTTCCTCTGTACACGTTATTATTCTATTGTGACCACCATTGCAACGGTTATTTCATTTTACCAAAGCTATTTTAGTTACCTACTTTGTAAAAAAAGTCGCCCGTTTTAGCGCACAAGTCGTACCCTTCGGCGCCCATGGTTCTCTGAACGCCTTGCTGAAAATAAATACGGGTCATCTACCAGGCATCCGGAACAATATTCTATAAAAGGATATAAGTTTTATTTTCGTTTGAAGTGCACGTAGTTACTTCCAGTTTAATAGAATTTTATCAAATGAAAAAGTATGACGGCGCACGCGTATTTGGTCTATATGATCGACGCTCAGAACCAATTGGGTTAATTTTCAGGATATCCTTGTATCAAAAAAACCGTTCAAAATTCGCCTCCAAAATCTATATTGTAAATGCCTTCCAGAAACTTCATATCTCCAAGAAAATGGGGAGTTTGTTCTCAATTAAATTGACATTTTTGAATATTCCAAAGTAACAAGATCAGCAAAAACGCCGATTCACAACAATGTTGCATCTGCAATTTTGAGGTTGGAATAAACCGCGTGTCCTAGGTTGAATGCACCGTAGGTACCTAAACAGAATTATTGTATATTTTTTTGCGAAGGATCTACGAGGCCTTTCATATGTATCTGAAGTTAGCGTTCAACGTACGTTATTGCACTCGCCTGGTGCTAGAAAGAGATTGTTGTAGTACGTTTCAAACACTTCGTGGATTCTTCGTAAAAAAATACATTGCCGCTCGCCTATGGATCGTTCCACCTGGGACACACTGTATTTCAAACGTACCTACAAAACTACTCGTACAAGTTAAGTTCAATTACCGTAATAACAAGAGTAAAGCCCATAAATATAAAATTTAATAAGAGAATTCAAAATTTTATTAGAAACGGAAGAGAACGAAATTATATACCCAAAGAAAATTATGGTATAAAGAAAAATGGCATGAATTTCTATACTAAGGCCAACAAAATTAAAAATTCGTTAAGTCGCTTGTGAGCAAGAGGCGAAGTGTGCACATTCAAATTTGTTTTTTCGATTTTAATAGCCCTTATGGACATTTCATGCCTTGTAGAGAATACAAACATGAGATAATTTTTTATTTCTGATCGAATGACACCAATACCAAGTCTGTAAGCGGTGTAGTTCCGGAGCGTTTGTGACTCAGACAGACAGACAGACATCAAGAGCGAAAAAGTGCATTTTTTTTAAGTGAAAGTGCACTAAAAATGAGGACTTGGGGAATATATTGTGAGAATTCTTTATACTTAATACTCCCAACGCTGAATCTCAATCTATCTACTAATTAACGAATTACCTTTTTATTCAAAAATCTTGCGATCGATTTTTGTCTCTTGTGTTTTCGTCGTCATAGAAAAAGCGACAGTCACTAGCGGACTGAATGGTCGCGCCACAGCACTGGAAATTAGAAAGGTATCTTCGACAAAACTGCGACAATATTTAGCAAGGTCATTGAATAAACTTAATGTTTTATTCAATGGCAAGGTATAAAAGGTATAGGTAATTCAGAAACTGGACGTGAAACGGTGAAAGCTACAATTAGGTACATACCCGACTAAAAAGTGAGGAAAAAATGGATGAGCTATGTTAGCGAATCAGGGAACCATTCTGATAATTACAAATCACAGCCTTTTCAACGATTATTCATTCAAAAGTGAGAAAATTTGTTTAAAATGCACAATATAAAAACAATAGCATTATTCCTTACAAAAAGATGTACGTAATGGCCATAATCCGATTAAAGTCAATTTCATAAAAAGAGTAAATACATAAATTATATACCTACTTGGGGTAACAAATTAGCAGGAATAGGGGCGTCAAACTACTCTTTAGTCAGGTCAGTACCCTTTTCGTTAATACGCTGTTGGATGGATGAAAGCTGCAAATCTGATATTACATGCATAAATGTATGGCCTGCATAATACGTTGCCATTAATTCAAAACTCAGTATAGGTAAACATACCTTTCTAATTTTTTTTTGCAAATTGAAACCAGTTCTTTTTCAAAACAGTCTTTTAGTAGTGTGTTCGTCAGCACGTATTTAACGACATCAACAGCCATATTTTTATGCTAAAAAGAGAACCACAACCAAGTAGGTACTATCAGAACAATAAACAATTATTGAACGCCCGTAGTATATCTTTTTCTTTTCTTACACCGTTGTCCTGTTGTCTGAACTAAACTCATAAGTCCAACGACTCACTGCCGCCTCCAGCTTATCCATACATCTAAAAAGTCAGGACCCTATTCAGGAACCACTCACTCACATACAAAATTTAGAAAATCCTGCCAAACAATGAGACTATATTGTCACAATCGAAAAAATGAGCCATAATCGATAAAAAATACATGTCAAAATCTTGTCAATCCAGAAATATCCTTCGCGTTCCTAATTTCAGCGCTAAGGTTGCGGCTGACATGGCAGAAGGCATACCACGAATCTAAAAAAAATGAGGGAAAATTTGAATCAAATAAAATCTGCCAACGAGTCCTCGTTACAAGGCGCAAAAGTTTCCTAACCTTATACTTAAGGTTAGGAGTAATCATGCTTGCAAAAGTATCCTCATGATATTTGAGACTGTAGGTAACTTATACTCCGGTATTAGAAGTTCAAACAATTCGAGTTTAAAAAAAATTTAAGTGCTTTAAAGGATGGTTGAAACTTCTGCATTTTCATTTAAAAAAAAGTTTTCTGTGGCCAGCACAGATGCCACCCGCGCACCTGCACGATTCGGTCTTTTTATACCTATGTGCAAGAGTATCGGGATCAAATTTTGGTCCAATCTATTCAACCGTTTAGCCGGAAATGAGAGTAGGTACAAATCGATAAAGACCGGCAGTGCGAGATTTTGTTTGATTCAGATTCCTGGTGTTTCAAAACGTGTATTTCCGTAAAAAATGAGGAGGGAGGGGGTCATTTTTGACCACACTCGATACATCAAAATAAAGAGCTTTATGTTTTCCGAAGGAAATCTGTGCATAAATAAACGGTTTCAAACCAATATACAGTCAATTTAATCAGTTTGTCCCTTAATTCACCATTGTCTATCTACTGAAAACAGAATTGGACAATTCGAAACCGTTCGCGAGTTATCCTGTACACAGACGGACGGACAGAAAGTATATTCTGAATTCAAGTATTCTATACAATAGGTACCTAGGGAATGTAACTGTCCTATAGTATACCAGAATTATACAGATTGCCGGTATCATATATGTATTTTTCGCGCCTCACTATAGGTTTTCGGTTATTTACCTAATTTATAGCCACACTAGATGAGGTATACGTATGGACAAGTGAAATGATATGCACCCCCCAACATCAACCGTAAGCCTCAACATGAGTATAAACATGTTCAAAATTACAATCTCTAGGTTACCTTAGTTCCATATAGGAAGCCCCTTCAAACCAATAAACATTTTGATCCGACTCCAATTTTGTCCTTGGCATTGAAACAGTAATACGCATAATTGTATGAGTATGACGATCACAATCACCCTCCTCGAAGCTAATGAGGAAAATTGGTCTTCTGTTAATTTCCATTAGCCACAAATAGGTAATAAGAACTATAAAATATGAACACGTGCAAAATTGCGTTTGCTTCATTTAAAAATAAGATCTCCCAGCAATAAAAGGCGTCATTATTCTATCTGCACAAGTAGAACTGATGATGAGAGCTAAAGTACCTTCATGTCAGAACTATTTACTTCATTGATACGTGACACGACTCGGTCAATTGATAAATTAAATTACGGGATCACCATTCATAAATCTGTAAGAAAAAGAACAACGCCACAAAAATGCGGGACAGTTTGTGATGAATAAGATAGGCAGGAAGCGTCTTAAATAGGAAACAGCATTTAAAAAATTAAATCTGACGCCCGAGGACGTAGATTAGCTCTAAATGTTAACTGTGTTAATAGAGCGGCATTTCTTTCTATTTTGCATATACCTACATACGATTAGCAAAGCTAGAAAAATTACCTACTACTACCACATCCAAGTAATGATGATTAAAATCTCCCATCAGTAACATGATTATTTTATCTAACACTTTGATAGGGTACATCTAAAGAAATACAATTTACTCACGAATTCTTCATTTCCACCACTTCAGAGTAAGGAGAGGTAAAGAGAATTAAGGCAAAAGTTAATTTCGACAAAGCAGTCGAACCTATAGTTTATTCAAATAACAAATTATACACGCATTACACTAATAAAAAAAACGAAGTCTATTTAAATAATTAAAATTCAAACTGTAGACAATTATTTTCCACATACAAAGCAGTCGAACCGAGGAGATATTTAAATTCATCACCTACGGCACTACTACTTAATATACGAAAAATTAAAAAAATCGATGTGCACCTTTCGAGTACCAATCGATGATTACTGCAGCATGATCACTCACGATGAGATTTATAAGTGTGTGGACAGGGATGTTTGTTTAAACTGTAATTTCTATTATTATTAAATAATCACCAATGTATTGATTAATAATGCCAATGTTAGTTTACTGATACTGTTATTGTTTAGTTTCTAATATTAATTGTGTAGATATCCATCAAGCTCGGATTGTTATTGTTAGGTCTTTAAAATCAAGGTTGGTCTTTTGCTTAATTACAGGGATGTAATACACGTCATTATCTGCGAAATGGGGCACTTTGATCTAACTAAAATAAATAGTAAGCACTAAACAAATTTTAAATGGTCAACAATAATCGATGTGGTTACCTACACTTGAAATCAGGAGTCTGGGGCCCTGCGTCATTGATTTGTGAATCAATTCCAGACATACGCAGACATACGCTAAAACACTGTAACATCTATATAAAGTGTGCAAAATCGATAAAAAAAACTTGTCTAAAATTGATTCACAAATCAATGACGCAACAATATTTCATATCAGGTTTTTTTTCACTCTTCTAAACGACAGAGGGGTTGATATTCTTATTTATAAAATTGTGGAAAAATTTGAGCAAAACGATTTTTAATTATTACAAATTAGGTAGGTATGCTATGAAAACAAGTGAACATGAAAAACATAGTGTTTCAACCTTTGGGTTATTTCTTAAGAATTGTATAGTATATATGATAATTAATTCCACGCTACTGATTTCTACGTAAAAATGGAACAAAATTCTGTTTTGTACCATTTTTGTATTTTTTAAAAATATCGAAGCTATCAACTTTTGAAACATTTTCTTGGTTTTGACACATCACACGTTACGCCGTTACGGTACTTTGAGGTTTTGTAGTTGGACGAACGAAATAAACCATGTTCTCATAAATAGTGCTCAACTCTTCAATCTGCAATATTGTATAACGAGGCTACCGACAATATGCATACAATAATGTGAATTTGCCACGTTACATCGCAACACAATGCAACCTCAAAAACGACAGACACTTTGATACACATCACGGCCTTTAAAATTGACTTGAACGAAGTGGGAAATCAGTATTATATTTTTTTCAATAATCAAATGTGTATGGAGCATTTATATTTTCCAAAATTTGGGTCCATGTTGTAGGAAAAAATGTTTTGCATATTTTAGGCAATAGCGTAATGGCAGTAAATGATGCGTCATTTTTACGTCACCGTAATATATGAGATGTCAAAATGGGCCTTCCTTATTTTTTGGCCTACCAAATTTGATAAAGAATCCACCTGAAAAATTTCATGGCAATCGGTTCACTCGTTTTTGAGATATCGTGCCTTTTAGCATTCAAGCTTTTCATATAGGTATTTTGTATCATATAAACTTCAAAACTAGCATCCTATAAGTGTTTTCAACATTAAAACAATCTGTGGTCTTCTTACGAATCGGTTGCGGAGTTCCTCTGGGGTGATAGCAATAATAGCATGATAGCAATATTTCCACTCCGGTTCCTACCACTTCCAGCCTATCAAGACTACATCCGATATTCAGAATTTTTGTAACTCCATGAATCTGTAGTTATCGTTTCAAGTGCCGTAACGTATTCCAAAAATCTTCGTAACTGGGCTTATCACAAGACCGGTCTTTTATCACGAGGTAATAAAGCAACCGTCTCTGCTACCTGTAGGTAACACGCTTTACCCACCTCGGGACGTATGCAGGTAGATTTCTCTTAACCGCCCAAACCGGAACTTGAATTCTACGGCAATACCTCTGCACATCTTGACGTCCTTGGCCAGCACCGGATTTAGTTCATGGACCGCCGGGGACTAAGTCATACTAAATCTGGGTTTTTTGTTGTTATAACTTTTGTCGTTACCAAAATGCACCGGAGTAGCATAGAACAACTTAAAACCTTCTGCAGAGGCACCTCTAAAAAGCATTATGCGGTTCACTCTGTAATTGAGCGCAAACCTGAAGGCCCAGAACAAAAGAGGGATAATAAATAAATAAAAAAGGTTCCCGCTATACCGAGTCTAGCGCTCTGTTCCATTAAAACTAAATTTACACATAGTGATGCACCTGAGAACGTACCCTAGTTACGTAGTTTTGAAGTGTGTTTCACTCAAACAGTTTGGGGAATCAGTGTGGGAGGTGACTATAACAGAACTTTGTATGTTTTAATAAAAGCATAATGGAACGACTGCAGACGCGTTTTTGGGCTAAATTATCTCGAAAAATGGGCTTCACTTAGATAAAACGTTGATTGACTTTCTCCTAATCTGTAATGTATTTAATGTGTTCCAAACTGCCTCCTAAGGTCACATTACTTTTTCGAGCGCTTATCTTAATCGTAGGCCTCGATCGAATGTCTAACCATTGATTATACACACAAGTTGTGTGTACAATATAATCAATGGTCTAACATTAACAAGTCCCCTATATACAATCCGCCACTGCGTGGGAATAATTTCGTGCCTCCGCCGCTGTGAATATTTTTTAGGTTAATGTATAAATGTACAGAAAATTTTCAAATGTAAACAGCTAATCCCGCTTTATTATTGTGTTTTTCGATAGTTGTTCACAGAAATAAACTTAATAAACATACCAAAAATGTCCGAAAAAAATATAAACCCTTTGGATATAAATGGTCAACATTTTGAACCGAACTTGTATCTCGAAAAGCTTTTCAAGGTAAGTCTGTTGTTTCACCTAAAACGCAAAAACTACTCGAATACTTCTGTGTTAGGAAAGCACATTAAAGCAAGTAATGGACCAAGAAAACGAAATAATAAAAGATACGCAAACGTTACATTCAGATATGCAAACATTAGTATACGAAAATTACAACAAATTCATTACAGCCACGGATACAGTTCGCAAGGTTTGTACGGTTTAAGTATATACAATTTTGAATTAATGTTATGCGGTTAGATGAAGACCGACTTCAAGAAAATGGAAACGGAAATGGACTTATTGGCGCAAAACATGGAATCGATAACTTCCTTCTCTCAACAAATCTCCTCCACTTTGCAGGATACTCGCGAGCAGATCAGTAAGCTTTCGGGTATACATAGTTTGCTGAAAAGGTTGCAGTTCCTCTTTAAATTGCCTTCCACTTTGAAGTTGAGAATGGAAGAGAAAAATTATAATCAGGCAAGTATTGTAATTGTTTTAAGGCGCCTACCTTGATGTATGAACTGATTATTTATTGGATTATCAGTAGCGATCAGTTTTATTTTAAGACATGTGAAAAGATGATTATACAGAAATGAATTAGGTATTTAAAAATTGTACTGAAGAAGCTGGGAAATTATTATCTTGGAAATCCATAACAATATAGTGACTATAAAGTAGGGCCGCCTAATATTATATGTTTGTGTACCATTTTATGATAACTAAGCCAGATTAACTGCTTTGGGAGATTTTGCTTTGGTTAAAACTCGTGTTAGTTTTTATTTTGAAGCAAAAGTACTATGGCAGTATGATGCGGTAAATTTCATAATAGCAGGAGCTTTCTACTACCGATACGATACTTGATTGCACTTATATCATGTATGTACTCTAACATTTAGGTTGTCATGCATACAATTTTCTATTTTGACTTTGAGAAAAATACATGTGGTCGCCAAAAATGCATCAAATTCATGTCTTGGTCATTGATATAATGCTCTTAGTCTTTTTCCCAACGATCTTGGTGCGTTTGAAATCTTTTACTACTCTAAATTCATGTGTAAAGAATAATTTTGGGTCCATTTTGCCCTAAAACTTTTGACCTAGACCACAGAGAAGAGTTATATTGAATTGGTTGAATGGCAAAAAACCATTATTATTATTATTAAGTATAAGAGGCATAGGGAATAATCTATCAAAAGTCCTAACTCGATACATGACTTAGGGAATGAAATACGTTGATTTCTATTATATTGGGCCCAGCGTTTTTTCTGTTCCCGATCCACTCGAAGTCCTATAACTTTTGTTCCTGTTGAGCGAGCGAAAAATGTGAAAAATCTGGCCACCTTTTTCTATGTAAGTACTTTATCTTGTAAATTAACTGGAGGGGTGATGGTTGGAGGGTAAGATAATTAAAAAAAATAATAATGTTTCAATAGGTCAATTGAAAAATTGTTTATTGCTATACTCCGTTCAATAGTTATTGTCCCAGTAGTAGGTCATGTTAGGGTGATGAAATTCACTGTGTATATGTGCTGTCACTCATTAGGTTATGTCCATTTTATACAAAATGATAATTTCCTGTCAATGTGCAAAACCTAGTTGCCAGATTTAGTTTTGGATTTTGTGGTAATTTTGTTATAGGTTAATACGTATAAATTTCATGAGAAACAACTTGCTCAATACGTTTCATACTTTATTGAGTACGCAAATGGCTCTAATGAACATTATTAATTTCAAAAGGCTGTTATATATGAACTTATTTACAATTATATGCTTAGTAATAGCAGGTTGCTGGTGGTGGTCTTTATGAACTAAACACTTCCACATTTAAATGCCGATATGCTGGTCTAAACTTCGAGCAGCTTTAGTCTGGGGCTGGATCAGCTTTGGGAGATGTGTGGTGTAGATTCTCAAAGATAACCACTGCTCGATAAGTCAGTACCATCATACCCGAGATGCCCTCAACGACCGCATTGATACCTAACTGCGCTTGAGTGTAGTTCTTGCTTCCACGGTGCCATTGGAATGTTCTTCCTTGGGTCTTTTGTTTTCCGTCTGTGCTGTTTGATGATTAGTACATTTCTGTTAATCTTATTTCCGGCAGGTAGCTTACTATTCTTTGGGGAACCTTTTAGTCTTAGAGCAGCTGCCTGATGGAAGTAATTGATTAACCACCCAATTTTGAAAAATCTCCCCGTTCATAGTTTTGTGATAATCCCTATCGTTACTATTTGAAGTTTGTAATAGATTACACCCTTCCAAAAATCCAAAACGAGACCCCGCATGCAAAACAGTAAAACGCTCCCTTCTGATTTAATTTTAGACGGATTACTTTTAATTTCAGAATCGTGTACCCATTTTCGGACGCTGGATCCATTTTGAAAAATCCAAGTTTCGTCCAGATACACGAATGTTATATTTTCACTTGAATTTTGGTATTGCAAGAATTTCCTCAAAAATGTAATTTTGGATGCAACAACATGTTTTTGTTCACAGAGAATTTTACGTCCATTTACGTGTTTGTATTTATAACCCATGGATTTTAGAATGTTATATAAAGTAGTTTTCCCCTTATCAAAATCAAAATTTTCCCGCGCGTCCCTTAGTAAGTCAGCCAAAGTAAAGTGTTCATTTTTCGAGTGATAATTCCAAATCAGTCGTTGCAAATCTTCCCGAAATGAAAAATTTTTATATATAATATCAGTTTTAGGTCGTGGGCCAAAAGGTTTCAATTCAAAAGTATCCAGCCGGATAATTCTTTCAATGGTTTTTTCTGATACCTAGAATTAGTCCAGGGAATAGAGGGTTTTAACTTGCAAAATGAGAAGTAGTTCCAATTTCTTTTGCATGTCATAGACAGTCATCTGGTGGTTAAGAATCTAAGTTTTCGACCTTCCATCCCTTGTGCTTCCCCTGTACCACCCCCAAAACCCTTGAAATTTGGTTGGTTTCTTAGTTTTTCAATCATATCTTTTTATAGGTTCACTTTACAAAAAAATATTGTTATAAGAAATTGTAGATCACAAAATTCGACACAACTTTGACATACATTACTTTTTTGTGAAATGTTTAATAAAAAAGATATAGATCGTCAAATTTTGCTTATATTTTTAAGAATTCTGAAATTTCTATGTAGATGTTTTAACCAAATTTTATACTTTATCTCTATAATAAAGAATTTTATGAGAAATGTAAATGTGTGGTGATCTTGGACAATGCACCGTATCATTCGGTGCAGTTGGAAAAATTACCCTCACGTAATTGGAAAAAGGATCAGATGCAGGATTGGTTGATTAAACACAATGTCAAAATTGCCATTTGCCTACTCAATAAAATATGAAACGTATTGAGCAAGTAGAATCCTAAAATGAATCAACAGAATGCATTTAAGATTTCTTTTATTCTGCAATACACATCTATAGATTAATAACAACTGATAAAGAAAGGACTAGGTGCATAACAAATTTCCATGCAGTGCAAGGTAGTGCAGAACATCTATTAATTAATTTTAAATCTACATTTTAGTATCTATCAATCATTTAGCATGTTGTTTTATCCAGAACGATATGTTTGAACTTTGTTGATGATTAATTCAGAAATAAAAGCTGTAGTTGCGACTAGGCATGGGAATTTTTTTCGATATATCGATAGGTATCGATAGTTATCGATATATCGAATAACAATAGGTAGAGCTAAAAAAATCGATATATCGATATATCGATAACTATCGATATATCGATACTTATCGATAACTATCGATATATCGATACTTATCGATAAGTATCGATATATCGATACCTATCGATATGTCGATAACTATCGATATGTCGATAACTATCGATATATCGATATGTCGATATCTATCGATATGTCGATATCTATCGATATATTGATATGTCGATAACTATTGATATATCGATATGTCGATAACTATCGATATATCGATATGTCGATAACTATCGATATGTCGATAACTATCGATATGTCGATAACTATTGATATATCGATGTCGATAACTATTGGTACGATAAAATTATGTTATTGTTGAGATTTCAACGAGCGCTACTATTTTTATTAATAAAATCCATTTTCGGGTTTACTCTCGTGTAAATTTACTATTTTTAGTTGCTCGACGTTTCGGAAACTTAACTTTGCTCCCTTTCTCAAGAGAAGCGCTACGTCACATTATCATCCATGCCAAATAAACGCAGTAATAAAATCTTTAGAAAATAGATCTTTTCGTCTTACTGACGAATGCTCAAAAAAAGAAGCACTTCAAAAACTTGAACAAAATGTTGCATCAAAATGGCTACTCTTTAGATAAAATAAAGAAGACAATCAAAGGGTGTAATCATGGCCTATGTATCGGTACCTGATTGATGGTTACAGAGGACCAGTCACAAAAAAAACAGAAAAAGCTAAGAACACTTCAAATTTAGATATACAGTTTCAATTGATTGACATTTACGAAATCTAACAAAAAACTCTTGATAAAGGTAGCAAAGAAACGTCGAGTAACTGTTAATAGTCACTTTACACGAGAATAAATCGGAAAATGGATTTTATTAATAAAACTCGATAAGATAACTATCCCTGTCGATAACTATCGATACGTCGAATATTTCTCTCAAATGAGGCGTGCAATTACCGCTTAATTACAGCGGTAATTGCATTGTAGAAAGCTAAAGAGCCCTGCGATAATTGCACATTTAATATGGTAACTCCATTAAAGTTGCAAGAACTGCATTGGGTTATTTTCATATTTTGTTAAAAGAGCCCTCTTGTCTTGTCTATTTCGATAGTTATCGATATATCGATAACCATCGATATTTCGATAATTATCGGCATATCGATAAGTAAAATATATCGATAGGTAAGTACCCGATACTTATCGATAGGTGAAAACAGTTATCGCCCATCCCTAGCGATAACTATCGACATATAGATACTTATCGATATATCGATACCTATCGATGTATCGATAGTATTCATATATCGATAACTATCGATATAACTATAACTATCGATATATCGATAACTGTTGATATACTGATACTTATCGATATATTGACAGTTATCGATATTTCGATAGTTATCGATAAGTATCGATAGGTAAGTATCGATAGGTATCGATATTTCGATAATTATCGGCATATCGATAAGTAAAATATATCGATAGGTAAGTACCCGATACTTATCGATAGGTGAAAACAGTTATCGCCCATCCCTAGTTGCGACTAGCATACCAAATCCCCAAATTGCAAATATTCCCGAAACATGCTCCATTGTTAAGGGTTTAGGCTCGTTGTCTTCGATTTTCTTAGTAATGTTTAGAGCATGAATAAAATCGATATTAAAAATACCAGATTCCTTCCATATGGTGAGTCCTTCAGTTACAGATGACATCAGGAAATGTGAATGATTTGAAATGAAGAATTTTCTTCGCGGTAAAGTATATTTCTTTTCAATAACCTGACTGCTTTCATATGCGGTGCTTATAAACCTTAAAAAATCACAGTTAACTAGCAGATAAATACATTTTCTGTCTCTTAGCATTTCCTTCCTAAGAGATATAATTTTTATTTTGTTTTCTATTTTGGTGTAAATTTCATCATTTAATTTGGATTTGTTAAAAAATGATATCTTCCGGCGATTATGCATGCAGACAGGTAATTTAGAATTAGCAACATCTTCAACAGTTTCAATTTTATTGCTGTCCGTGTTTGATGTCAAAATAGTGATGAGATTCGATTTAAAAGCGGTTTGGACGATTATGACGTAAAACAAATACAAAACAAAAATGAAACGCAACTGTCTTAGTACGGGTGTGCGTCTTATGCAACCACAGATTGTTAAACTACAAAAAAGGGAAAAAATGTAGCAGAAGTTATTCGGCTCGCTTGACCGTTTGGTTTTTAAAACGGCCCACCATGCCAATGTGCCCAACGTAAAAGTTGAAATAATGAGTATCCATACAGCGTGTTGAAAAATTGATGAAATGGCATCTAATGTAAACACATTTTTCTCTACAGGAGCAACCCATATATGATGATCTCTCCAAAATTCCCTACTACATTTCAGATTGCTTAAGTTTGGTTCGACAGAGCCTATTAAAACTAATGTATCTGCTTTTTGGATTTCAAGATCAGTATGATTTCTATCAATGTGAAAGTTAATATTGAAAACAGAAACCATAAAACTGAAAAACTTTTTAATTAAAGCTTCTTCAAATGATCCTTTTTCGGTATCGACCTTAAAAATGATATTACAGCCTCCAGGTTTTCCAACTCCTTTCTTCAAATCAATGGATAGGCTTGATGAACAGTTATGCACCATATAATCATCATCATCATATCATTTTGCTTGGCAACAACCAAAGAATGGAGGATATTAAATTTCCACAACAACTCAAACACACGGGTACCATTTCCCATTAAAATCACTATCAAAAATCTACCAAGCGGAGATTCATTATCATCCCAGATAGGACTCTTTTTTAAATTTGTCAGTAAACGTAATATTGAATCCTCATCTTTAGCTACGATTATATGGTCTTTGGTGATTACTGACGGTCCCGAGAGCGGTCCTAATACTGCACTGTTGATATTTAGTAGTACACGAGGCAGTGATGGAGCGTTGGCAAACAATGTGTAGTTGTTTTCATCTTCTAGAATATAAATGGTCGGAGTACCAGAAAATAAATTATCTGCTGCCGTTGAGACACATTGATGCAATTCAACAGAATCGACAGGTGTGGTTGTTGCTTGCGGTAACAATCCGTTTATTTCTTTAAAGAAATATGCGACAAGTAGGTATGCCAAATTCGATACCATTTTATCCTAAAACGTTAAAACACATCACAATACAAAGGTTTGGCCATGAATAAAAACAGTTCTATATATACCTTTATCTATATAAATGTTTACCTAAGTTGTCAATATTTTTGATGAATTAGCTGAATTTATTGTAATTTTTGATATTGTTAACGAGTTTTAAATTGCGGATACTCCTAGAGAATGAAATTTTGATTCATATTGGAAACGCATTTTCTTAATAATCATTTGAAATTTTGTTATATCGCACGTAACTGATGTGTGATTAGTTATGCATTGATTTTTATTTTATAATAATAAAAGTATACAACGCAATTAGACCGGGAGGCAGCGTACATAGTAACTAAACCATAAGCGACAAAAAATTCGACAATACAGGCTGAAAGTACGTTGAAAACTAATAATAAAATCACTCGTCTGCCAGTCGTAAGTGGCAGCATTAACTTGGGGCGGCGCTGAATAGGTGACTTCTTTAGGTGATCAACTAAATTACCAAACTATAAGGGTCACGGAAAAGATTTGTATCAAGAAATCCCATTTTTTCCATAGTTTTCAAATATGCTATGGCAGACGATTTCAAGTGCAGCGTTGGTAGCGAAAGACGCCCTCCAATGTAGGGAAAAAAACCCTTAACTAAACCATGAGGACCGTATAAAAATTATACATAAAAAATTCCTCTTTTTGTCACTACTTTAAAATATATCCTGGCAGACGGTATTAAGTGTAGCTTTAATAGTGGCAGACGTCTTAGAAGTTAAAAAATTTAGGTAAATGCGTGGGTACCGCGTTACCCTGCGTTACCCAAATTCACGAACATCTCTCGAAGATTTATGAATTTCTGCGTGTTATTGGAAAAGAGACCTACTTCCATCTATACCTTGATGGTAGCGTCAATTTTACATTTACCAAAGCAAAAACAGCAATATCCATATCGGAAGCGCTAATAATGACTTTGCTACTTGTTGGTAGTTTACCAAGATGGTAAATTATTCGAGAATCTGCCTCTTAGTGGCTGCAGCACAATTCAGTTTTTACCACATCATCTTCCCTTGTCACAAATTTATAGCACATATCTTCATACGTGGCAAACACAACATTCCTTCCAAGTAAAGCACAACAGGTCTTTTTTGCCTATGAACGGTATAAGTAATCTATAAGAGAGGCTTTGAGCTATCATTGCGAAGTGATTTTATGAAATTTGCAGGCTGCTTCTGAGTAGAAACAGAAATTGAGTAGGATTGTAATCTTTCCTTATTTTGATCCCAACGATCATGTTCTGCGTCCTTCATGGAAGGGGTAAATATCTGTCAAAAGTAAGATGTACTTCTCTCGCTGACACAGCACAAATCTTGCCGAGGATGTGTTCAGAAAATCGCTCAAAGGTTTACCGGAGATCTTTTAAAAGATGCAAAAAAAATAATCCATCGATTAAAACAACATCTACAACTGGCGATGGACTAGGAGTACTTGCAGAAATCATACTTCCGAAAAAGTTTCAGCAAAACAAACTTGTCGATTTTATTCATCGATCCATCAATGTTGCATAGAGACAACGAAACTGGAGTCAGAAGATAGTTTAGAACGAGCTGAAGGTCTATCTTCTTTTCTCTTCAGGTTTTCTGTTTCTCAGTCTGAGAAGAATTCAAGAAATACCGACAATCTTATCGCGAAATAAACAATTTATTATTTTCCCTAATTTAATTCGTTTGGTAACTCCAAGCGGCGCGTAAATCTATAGCTATCTCTGTGCTCTAGATATGAGTAATTATAACCGATCACGATAAGGGGGGGGAGGACTATGGTTGAGACCTTTCATTACAGTGGGTACCATAAAGGATAAAATCAGTTCCCCCCTCCCTTCCGGATGAGCTTAGGAGAAGGGCATAGTTCGTAGAAAACAGTCCCTTTCGTTGAAACCTTTATTAGAATATTAGGAAAGATAAAACCAATTTCCACCCCCTCCCCCTCCTCCAGTCACCCGCTGATCTCGAAAATGAGTCGCGAAAAATAGGTATAGTTTGTAGAAACTAAATCCTTTTGATGTTATTAGAATACCGTCAAGAGTAGAACGTGTATTTGTTCCTCTCCCTTGCCATCTTTGAAAAGTTTTTTTGCACCTACCAACTTTTCTTCTACCTTTGTAACAAGTCATTTTATTTGGAAAGACGGTGATGTTTATAAGCAAACGTCAAGTGACCTGTCCATGACAATCATGGAATTACAAATAAATAAACAAATATAGCAAACGAGCTCCTGGGTATGACTATAGCATGTGCAAAACCAAATTTTAAACCTGATGTTAGTTTTGCTTTTATTCCAAGTATGTATCAAATTTCATTTAAATCCCTCCATAAATAAGAAAGTTGGCACTGCGCATGCGCAAAACGACATTTTGAAACTTGTGTTAAATTTGGTTTTATTCCAAGTGGCTATGTATCAAATTTCGTTTAAATACCTTCATAAATAAGAAAGTTTGCAATTCGGTTTGTAAATGTTCGAGATGCGCAAAGGGCACTGTGAATGCTGATCGATTAGGCTCAACTTTTGGAATTGTGTTTTATATGGCTAAAGCTATGCGCATATTGAATTTCATGTAATTCGGTTCATAACTAACGGAGATGTCAAAAGGGCCTACTTTATTTTTTGGGCTACATTGCCAATTCACGAACTTCGATCTACAAATTTGATAAAGTATCCACCTGCAAAATTTCATTGTAATCGGTTCATTCGTTTATGAGTTATCGTGCTAACGGACGGACGGACAGACACCACAAAATTATAAACTCGCTAGAGGAGCTCGTTAATAAACAGCCCATATGTATTCTAATCTAACCGTCAATTATGATTTTAATTTATTTCCCTTATTTTTTAATTATATTGCAGTAGGTACCTATAATAAAAGATGCTATATAAGAAACATATGTATAATTGGCTTTAAAGCGCTTGCAATTAAAATTCGTTGCACGTGGTGGAATGACTTGATTATACACTTGTCCCTTAATATACTATTACAGTGCACCTGTTTTTTTTAACACTTAACTTGACTTAACCTTCGGAATAAACGAACGTGTCTTCTGAATCTTCAAACGTCATTTCTCAATGATCAGAACTGAATAATCTGAATGAACTAAATGTCCCTCTTTCTTTCTTCCATCCACCTTTTATGAAAACACTCATATCACATGTAAACAGCATGTTATGAATTGTTCTATTATTGAACCTGCAATCTTTATACAAAAAAAAGCTCTGATCTTAAAAAGATGATAAAATTTAACAAAGGAATACACCTGCAAATTTCATTAAATTTAATCGCGGGTCTATCAACCCTACATTATTCTAATCCAAGGACGAAACCAACTGCGGCGTGACCAGTCCTTCGCCGAACTTTCTATTTGTATGTTTTCTCTACGATGTAAATCCTTAGTTTTATTTCTTATTGCTTGTCTGCGTTTCCTCTATAAATACATATGTATACATTTCAGGCCGTCGAAGATTACTTAATAGCGCAAAAGGTACTCCAACACTACGGTGGCATGCCATCCTTTCAAGGTATCAAGGTGGACTGCGAAACAATTTTAGTAGAGCTAAAAGAGGAATTGCGCAATCAATTTAACGACGCAAACGCCACCGCAAAACAGCTGGCCAATTCCGTCGATCTGCTATTGCAGTTAGAAGAACCCGCCAAGGAGTTGTGTGCCGAATTTCTGACGTGCGCCGAAAAACGCCTTAGCGAGCAGCTGGTTATGCTGAAAGATCAAAGCGAGCAGAGGGACATCACAGACTTTGTCGACCTAGGATGCTCGGGTTTCTTGAGCGATTTGTGTCTAGTTGTGGCATCGTTCCACGACATGTTTATCAATCGGATGAACATCGAGAATGTGGAAAACAGGTAATATTCGCTTTCCTCTGGTAAAAGGTACCTAATGAAAATTCGTAGTGAAATTTTTGAAAATTTTGCGGACATCGAATTGAACACGTTTATTTTAAATAAAATGGAGAAGTACTTTGAACTCGTTCAGAGTAAAGTGGATATGGAACAAGAAATTAGTGATACAACCGTTTTGGTGAAGGCTCTAGATCGTTTCTACCGAAGGCTGCAAGCGATGAATACACTTTGTCGGGATACAGATTTTGCAAAGTATGTACGGACTGAATTCTTCTTCATTAACCCTTCTTTGTAGGACTGGTATAGAGATAGTGATTAATGCAGGTAGAAAACAGTGCAAGACTCACCTTCAAGTTTTAAAAATGCACTTTGCTGATTTACTTACCAAAGCTCGTCAAACGCTTACCACCCCCAAATTAATAACTCAAGATGACTCCAATATAAATTTAAATGAAATGCTAATGTCACTTGTTTTAACGGTTGTAGAGAAAGTGAAAGGAGTTTTGCAAGACTTAGTTGTAAGTGGTATTATTGTTAAATTGGTGAGGTCCGATTAAGTAGTGAGTTTTAGGTTTTTATAGAAAATGATGTAAATTTTGCACAGCAAGCTTTATTCAGAGACAGCTTTTGCGTGGATAATGTGAGGGAAGGATTAATTGTCTGCTTCCTGCACCATTTGACTGCCACTGCTCGAGGTCTTTGTTCTAGTAATGTGTCAGATGCAAAAATACCACCAATATTGCTGTTGTTGCTATCTAAATTTTGTTTAGATTTTCAAAACGGACACGTACACTATTTGGTAAGTGATAGTCTTTACAATACTCCACTTGTAATTTTGACATAATGTGGTAATCTAAATCTTACTCAAATTGCCAGATAGCTTAAATCATTTTGTTGCCCACATAAGGAAACCACTGTCCGTCCACCTATGTGTTCGTTTTTTTAAATTACAGTATTTTCCTGAAACTCAATCATTGTTTTCCAATGTTACAAAAATGTATGTATCAAACATAGACGTGCGAATACCATCCACGGCTTACTGCAAAAGTGTAGATTAGAACATATCTCAATTTACAGGAAAAGTGTAAATTATCTAAAAAAAGTCAGCAAATTTGTGAACCCTTAAAGAAAAACTAAAGAGCGTTCAAATCATTATTCTGCTAGTAGCGGATGGCTGTGGTTTTCTCTTTTTATTGAAAATCGTATGCTATTTTTCGTGTCTTGTTCAAAGGGAATTTGCATCAGTTTAATTATTCCTCATTACGCTAACCATTCGTATTTTAAATAGTAGGTGGCAGGTAAAGTCATAAGTTCATTTAATATCTTAGCTAGATCGCAATTACGAAAAAACTCAACTAAAGCACCAGCGTACGCCGTCATATTATCCCAAATATTCGTTTTTATCTTAATACAACCGGAGTTATATAAGAACACCATTCACAAACAAAATCCAGCATTTCTCGCCGAAAATCCGCTGCAGACGATCGCTTTACGAAGGAAAGATTTGGCACCGAAAGCACCAAATCAGCGAGAAGAAGTACTTCCGGTGGTAGAAGAAAGCAGAAGTATTAACTTTAATGGTAAGCTTAGTGAGAACAGCCTATTAGCGTCCTTCTCTGAACCACTCCCAATTGCTACCTTACATGTTCTCTATGATCTTAAATAGAATGTATAACACCACTCAAACATTTTAATGCTTGGTTTAAGATGTTGAAGTTCCCATTTAGAATATTAGGTATTGCTGGTTATGGTCAAAATTACAAGTTTAGGGGTAACAGCAATAAGTAGGGTTTTTTTTTTGTTTTAAATATCGTTCAATATATATGTAGTTAACGCAAGCAGATGAGTTATTCACAATTAATCCTAAAGAATCTGTCGCCCTTACAACCGAGACTGAAATTAACACCACAATGCAAGAGTCGGCGCAGGAATTGTTGAATTATTACGTTCGCATACAGGGATTAAATATATCGCAGGTAAGTAAAAGGATTTGGTTACGGAAAATTTCATTGGTGTTTCTCAGATGTTACGTAAAAGTGTCGAAACACGAGATTGGTTACATACAATTGAACCCAGAACAGTACGAGCTGTGATGAAACGTGTCGTAGAAGATATGGCTTCCATTGACTCGACAGTTGCACAGTTATACGAAGATCAAGGAGTACCGACAGAGCATAGCAGCGACTCTAGTCGTAAAACACACAGTATATCGGTGTCTCGCCATCAGTATAGGTCAAATTGGTCTGCTTACACTCCTAATCAATTGGATTCGGCTTTAGTTTCCAATATACATAAGCTGTTTAGTGAACGGATTGAAATATTTTCTACGGTGGAATTCAGTAAGGTGTCCATACTGACAGGGATTATTAAAATTAGTTTAAAGGTAAATACGGCCGAGTCAAATTGCATGTTGCCTATTCTATTTTCAGACATTCATGGAGTGTGTACGATTAAAAACATTTAGTAAATATGGCCTTCAACAAATTCAAGTTGACACCCATTATTTGCAATTATACTTGTGGAGGTTTGTTGCGGATGAAAAGTAAGTACTATTCAATTTATGAAGCTCATACTTAATTCTGTTTCGTAGTCTTGTACATTTTCTTTTGGACGAAATATTGGGATCGGCTGTCCATAGATGTCTAGAACCAATACTTATGGAACCAAGTGTTGTTGATATAATTTGTGAAAGGGGGTAATTTAGTATCTACTGCTTATCATAAAATGGTTCAATATCGTAGGTGCTAAATAATGGAAATTTGTTGTTCCATAATTAAATAAAAAAATATATACATCCATTATTACTGAGTAAAACAACTATACTTGCGTTTTGTTGTAGCTAGATAAAGTTTGTGTATAATATTTTTATCCACAAATAGCGCATAGATATTCAGAAAAAGAAGACTGTGGTTTCATGTCTAAACCACATTCGTCTTCATTTGCACATGGGTTGGTACCTAGGTACCATAAAATCAAATGACAAATTTGATTTGACAGGCAATGATAACACCAAAGTTGAAGGCAGAACAGAGATCAATACGGTTGCCATATGGCCGGGATTAGCTGCACTGTCCCGGATCCCGGTTTTTCATATATAAACCCCGGAAAAATTAACGCAACGTCGTGAATAAAAATTCAAAATTATTTACACTTGCCCAAATTCACATAGTGGCGGCACTGCACGAACCAATAGAAATAGCTACCAACCTCGACTGCGGAATCTTGACAATTACGTTAATACAAAGTGAACCAATTCAACCAATCGCGCCGCGCTCCCCTGGTTTTTGTTCCAGAAAAACGTGATTAATACATATTAACATTTTATTTTTTCTGTTGCGTTATTGTGGGCGTTAAAAAATGGGATTAATACATTAAAAAAATAAAATATAATAGCCCTAAAAAACTAGCAACATTAACATTAGAAACGAGATAGGTACCCAATATATTTTTGAATGTGGTATATTTTTACCCGGTCATAATTTTGGTTTACGAGGGGATGGTGTCCCCTGGTGGCAACCCTAGAAGAGATCAAACATACTATAATAATAATACATTGTAGCATTTATATGACTAGATTTATAATTCTTGCGTCGGGAGATAAAAGATAAGCGCATAAAAATACCAAATGCATAATTGTAGTAATATAGGTATACAGGGTCGCTATTAAAGCTTTCTCGTTCAAACCATTTTAGATATAGATTTGAAAATTAGAATGCTTCCATTTGAAATTATTTCACATATTTTGAGGTTAAAAAATTTTTTGCCACATGGTTTTTGAGTGAGGCCGCCATTTTGAATTTTTTCTCTTACTACCTTAAGCAGGTGCCTGGTATGATGTTAAATTAGAAAATAATGGAGAAAAAACTATCAAATGGGGCATATTTCACAAAATTAAGATTTATGATTTATGTTGCTACTTTAAAAAAATCAAGATAACAGTCCCACTCTTAGCAAGAAATAAAGATAGAGATGGCCTTGATGCTTATCTATGCGTGCCATCATTTCGTTTGTTTACTAATAGCGTTTTCGATTGGCAAAACTCGTGCTGCACGAGTGCAATTTTTACGTTCTATTGGTAATTTTAGCGCAATTTTCTGTGTTCCATTGGCAAATGTGATGCAACAATTACGCACTAAATGCAAATTTTGACGCACGAGGTCGGAGAGCTCGTGGAGCAAATTTTCAAAATAAAAGTGCGCCAATTTGAATTTGTTTCTTGCGTTGGAGAGTTTTTTGTTGTCATCTAGCGATAGCGAAGATCATGAACTAACCATATAACTTCTACTTTACAAAAAGTTGCATTTACTCTTTAAAGTGAACGCCAAAGATTGGTTCTTTACAGGAATTTCAAATTTATATTCCTCATTGTTTATCATAAATAATAGTGAAATCGTTTCAGTCATTTTTTAGAATACAGATTTGTCGATTACCTAAATCATTGTATAAATACGAATCTAAAATGAGGTTATGGACAAATGACAGCAAATATTTACGAATATTTATGTTCCATTGAGAGCAATTTTCACATGGATTTCTTCAGTTTCTCGTGCAACACTCGTGCAGTACGAGTTTTGCCAATCGAAAACGCTATAACATTCAAGGAGACTAAGTTGTCACATTTCACAAGATAGTTTTTAAGGGAATATTAATAACATATTGTAACGTTATTTATAAAATTCGGGTTCGATTTATATCAATATTTATTAAACAAAAACTAAAACACTATAAAATCCGTACAATTTATATCGATCATTTATATCACACACTTCGAAATTTATATCAGCTTTTCGCGCTCTATGTTTCGTTCGCACTCGATCTCGTTCGATAGTAGACTGCCCGCGATGTTCGGTCCGCAACCATTTATACACGCAAGCAATGTAAGTCCAGTACATTCTCGAATACGCGTAGAAAATTCCAGATAATTCTGGAGCATTTCCGTTACACTGCCCCCTTCTTAATTCTGGACGTCTCGTTCAGAAACTGCGTTAGTATTACTTTTTAATGCCTCGTGTCGGAATCTGCAGTCAGAGCCTGCTCGACAAACACCTTTCTTGAAAAAGTAACAGTCCACAGTTTTGCGGAGGGTCGTCCCCTGTGGGTTGAAGCAGCATACTGTAATTCGAACGCTAGTGTTTCTAAAAATCACTTCGATCATGGTTCGCACTATCTTCCAGTCCAACCCATCTAAACCACATCCAATCTTCGGGATCGCCAAGCTATTTATGTCATAGTATGCCATGAGTTTCTTTAAGCTTTTTAAAGCAGACCAGAGGTTTTCATAGGTGGGTTTGTTTGTCTTCTGACGTTTTCTTTGAAACCAAGTAGAACAAAGAGCGTTGACTATCTTCCAAGCGCAGTACTTTACCCACTCGTGGTCTTTGTTTTAACAACTCGTCCATTCTTCCAAATCTTTTCCGGAATACGGAAGCTATACCTTTACCCATGCGAAGGTCTTCGGCGACACAATGGGCGATGGAAACGTTAACCGGAAGCTCAAAAATATTTTGACAAATTTCCTGAGTAACGCCAAATCGAGCTTTCTTCCGCTGGGTGTAATTTGACATAAAATCGTTAAAGTTTGGCTCGATCCCAAAGCTGCGTTCCTCTTCTCGAATACCTCTAACTTCTTCGTTGTTGTTGGATCCGGCATATCGTGCGAGTCGATTAATGTGGACAACTTTCGGTTTCCGGTGGTTCATTCTGATACGATATATCACGTCATTTATTTTCTTGATCACCTCATATGGACCTTCCCATTGTCTTTGTAGCTTGGGAGAAAGACCTCTTCGCCTCTGTGGATTGTGCAGCCATACCAGATCTCCAGCTTCAAAAGTTTCATTGGCCGAGCGGAGGTTGTATTGATTCTTCATGCGATCGCTGGCAATCTGAATATGACTTCTAGCCAAGTCGTGAATGTCATTCATCTTCGCCTTTAGTTGGTCAACATAATTTTCACCTGCGACATATTCTTCATGGGGTTTACGCCCAAACTCGAGGTCACATGGAAGGCGTAGTTCACGACCCAACATAAGGCAGGCAGGAGTCTGACCCGTGGTCTCGTTGACGGCTGATCGATATGCCATAAGGAACAGGTGGTCCCAATTTTTCTGATGTTCTGCCACGACTTTTGAAAGATATTTACCCATCGTTCGATTCATTCTCTCCACCATTCCATCTGACTGAGGATGCATAGGTGTTGTTCTGGTTTTATTGGCTCCTACCAATCGACAAACATCTTGAAACAAAGCCGATTCAAAGTTCCTTCCTTGATCTGAATGGATTTCTATAGGAACACCAAAACGTGTAAAGAACTCCTTTACCAACACTTCTGCAACTGTTGCTGCCTCTTGGTTTGGAATGGCGTAAGCTTCAGTCCACTTTGTGAAATAATCCATAGCGACTAGGATATATTTATTTCCGCCATCTGTCTCGGGAAACGGTCCTGCGATATCGATAGCAACTCGTTCCATCGGACTACCAACGTTATACTGCCTCATGGGTGCCTTCTTCTTGGAAACAGGTCCGTTTCCAGTAGCACATAACTCACATTTTTGACACCATCGCCGGACATCTTCTTTACGGTTGACCCAATAGAATCGCTCACGTACCCTTTGCAACGTTTTCGTAATACCAAAGTGTCCTCCGGAAGCGCCGTCATGCAATTTTCGCAATACTTCCGACACTTTGCTTCGAGGTACTACTAATTGCAGCGTCGATTCGGTGCCATCTTCACTTTCAAGGGCCCTATACAACAGGTTGTCTTTCAGAGTCAGGCTATTCCATTGGCCCCAATAACTCTTTACTTCAGGACTTGTGGCACTAATGTCTTGCCAGTCTGGTCTTTGTCCGTGGCGCATCCAATTCAGAACAGTTTTTAAACTTGGGTCGTTTTCTTGGGCCGTTTTGATTTCGCTTGGCTTCCATTCCTCACTCTCTACAGTTGTTCGCCGCAGATGGCCCATCTTGTCTTCTATTTTAGAACAATGTGTGCAGTTGTCCTTGCACGGTCTTCTTGACAAAGCGTCTGCATTATTGTGAACTTTTCCAGCCCTGTGTTCAATGTCGTAATCATATTCCTGAAGACGTTCTAACCATCTTGCCACCTGTCCTTCTGGGTTTCGGAACTGCAAGAGCCACTTTAGCGCTGCATGATCTGTCCTTATCAGGAACTTGCGGCCGAAAGGTACTTATGGAAATGTTCGCATGCCTTTACCACACCCAGGAGCTCTCGCCTAGTCACACAATAATTCCTCTCGGGTTTCGACAGTACTTTGCTGAAATAGGCAATGACTCTTTCCTGTCCGTCTTGCAATTGAGAAAGAACAGCTCCAATGGCGGTGTTACTGGCATCGGTATCTAGCACAAACTTTCCTTCATTTCTGGGGTAGCCAAGGATAGGTGCGCTAGTAAGAGCTTGCCGGAGATGTTCGAAAGCTCTTTGAGAGTCTTCACTCCATTCGTACTCATTGCCCTCTTCTGTCAACTTTATTAATGGTTTGGAAATGTTGGCAAATCCTTTCACGAATCGTCTATAATAGGTGCACAAACCGAGGAAACTTCGAATCTCGTGCTTGTTCTCAGGAATCGGCCACTCTTGAATCACTATAATCTTCTCTGGGTCAGCTGTAACACCATCACGAGATACGATGTGCCCCAAATATTTAACTTCTTTTTGGAACATAAAGCATTTCTTGGGACTTAGTTTTAAATTGGCATCTCGTAGTCGTCCAAACACCTCTCTCAGGTTCTTTAGGTGTTCTTCAAAAGTTTTTCCTACGACAATTACATCATCCAAATATACCA